GAAACTACCTAAACAACTTTTTACTTTTTTTTATTTTAAGACATTTGGTTGACATATGGCCACTATCTAAAGACTAATATTAACGATATAATAATAATCGTAATAAATTATTAATTCATCCGATTTATAAATATAATTTACACATACACGACATTACTTTAAATAACATTAAACGAAAATATAAACCTATAACTCCTAAACTGGAATAAACCTATATATTAGGGGTAAGTGGACCCTCACATAATATACACTTCATTGGCGTTTTAACAATTACATTATTAACCTAACGCCTAATTATTAGTGAAATACGTAGCTTTATAATGAATCAAAGATTTGTAACAAGAACCGTATCGGGAAAAAGCTGCTACTGAAACGCCATCGACGCGCTGTCTACTGGTATGTAAGATGCTGTATCCTACCCGTGGTGCCTATTCACTGTGACTTTGAAGAGTTCCAGGTTAAACCGATCGGGGAAAGCATGACCAGGCAATACATTCGGTAATCTCAAATCAACAAAAAGAAACTGAATCACATATCATTATTTTGATTAAGATGTTGTAAATAATTTTGTTAAAAAAAAAGTGTCATTTCTTTCAGAGAATTAAATCAACTCTCAAACGTGCCACTCGTCTCTCTCATATTTTTGCTATGATCTCGTTTCAAGAAGACTCAAACACAAAAGGAACATTGTAAACTCTAGTATTCTTACCTTCTCAGTCAAGATGAAAGCCTTGAGAGCTCTTATTCTAAACTTTGTTCGACTTTTTTCCAGGCCCTTAAAATACATTTGAATCCTCAAAAGTCTTACAGTTGTTAGTCTCTCTTCTATAATATTTTGACAATTTTTCTTTTGACCGACAGTCGAAAGAATTAGAGACAGCTTCCATAGAACGATGCAGTTAGAATTGCAGAATTAGTAAAATTCTTCCCCTCATTCCAGTCATGATCAAACGAAAAAAAAAGTTATTGTATTTTTACGACATTGAGGTAGGTACTCGTTTCAAAACCAAAAAGTTGTTTCATTAATATGCGTATAATTGGATGCTGATTTTTCTAACGAATAAAGAATGAAAGGAGTGACATAGGTGAATTAACTAAATCTGTGCAGTGCGTAAAAAAATCGCAAACGATCAAGTTTGTTACATGGGAGCCCTTGTTAAATATTTATTTTATTCTGTGCTTAGTATTTATTGTCATAGAGGCGATATTTCAACTGTCTAGCTAGTTATAAAGGTTCATAAAATGCAGCCTGGTGACAGATAGATGCAGAGCGAAGTCTTAGTGATAGGGTCTCGTTTTCACCCTTACCTTTTGAGTACCTTAATAAAGTCCAAGTTATCTTACAACACAATTCTACGATAACATTATTTCTATCCTGTACAGTTTTGTAAGGTGATTCTTTATGTAATGATATGTTGGCAGGGTTTGCAAACCCATCGACACAGGTGTGAGACTCACAGATCTAGCTACGACTCAAGGAATGCAATTGATGATCTTTATTAGTCGACAATGGTTTGTTTGTAACAGTTTTAAAGTTACTTCTATTGCGCTCTCTACAGCTTTGTTGTTTATAAATTATGCTTTATATATAATAGATTTTGTTAGCTCTTAATGTCATTTCAGATTTTATCATTTCGCGTCGGTTTTTCCTTTTATGTACATAGGTACCCTTTTTCCTTATCAACTGGATCGTCTAAAGTTTAATATACGAGCACATATTGTGTCTTATTATCAAAACGAGGACTAAAATTAGTAGGTACTTTTTTATGTTGTTGGCCGCCTAAGCAAATTGACAATGAATGACATGAGAGTAAACGACAAATTGAGATGTCTTTACTTAAAACGTAAAATCGGACGTTAAGAAGAAAAACTTGAGTCCATAAATTTTAAGTTTAAACAATTTTTTCTTGTTTGTCGTCGTTTACGTATTTTATTACAGTTACAAAAATAAATATTTAATAACATCACATACTACGCAACTTAAGATCTGAGCAATATAGATCTTAAGTTGCGTAGCTGAAGATCTTGTATTCTGAAAATCTAAAACAACGAAAGTAACTCCTACATCATAGATGGACAGGTAATCGACACATTAAAACTGACGTGCGAGCCACTCGGCTAAGGACATATTCAATATTTAAAAAAAGGTTAGGTCATGAAAAAATGCTGCATTGGTATTATGCTTAATGGTTCAAGCTACATCTGGAAAATATGCAAGTCTCGTTATATGCTTCCTAATTTAAAATTACGCGAGCGTATACTTTTTCAAAACAAATGATTAATTATTTTTGTAATGTGACCGAGTCTGTCTTTTGCTTTTGAAGTTGATTTGTCGATTTAATGCTTGCCAAATTTAAATTAAGAATTTTCTTTCGAAAACAAACCTTTGTTTGGTTTCTGTGAAAATGTAGCGTTGACGAAAAAAAAATAAGACTTTACATTACATCTATATTTATATGTATTGGTAAATATTCCCAATAAAGGTTCTATTGCATTTGTACTGTTTTAATGTAACCGTATTTCTTCTGTTCGAATTGGTGAAAAGATCGCAACTCTCGATAAAAGTAGGTGACATAAGTACATATTTCATTAAGTTATTCAAATAAACTGACTTCTGACGTCGTTGCATTTCGATACATTAATAAATTGAAATACATTGAATTACATTACATAAATTGAATTAGAATCGTAAAGTAGAACTGCCATCATCGCAAATTTAATTGGATAATAATATCGTGTTGATGACTCTTTCTCGGCGACTAGAAGAATTTCACCAATTCTCTTAATTACAGCTGAACGCTTAAACGATTTTCTGAGTTACGCCAAGAATGAATATTTAAAATGTGATCCCCACCCAACTCTAAAATTGCAGGAGCCTGTTAACTCAGATGATAGTGTAATTTTGACTATAAAGCTTGAGCTGTCACAGTGACAGTAGAGTTTACTATTATTGTCGATAACAGATTCAGTTTGTACACATACGTTCGCGAAGCCATCTCGAAGTGTCTGAACAATTTGACCCCCGGAACACGACAATTTCGCACCTCCTAAATGTGCCCTTGACACGAGCTGTCGTTAATACGTTACAGTGACCTCACTCCACTATGCGCGGTGTGATGGTTATTTCTGGAGTTTACTATACACAACAGCATTTAGCTGAGATTGCGTCGAACGTAAACGCAATGAGCGATATTCACGATCGCTATCAGCACACTCGTGTGTGTAGTTGCGCACGCAAGCTTCTTAAAATCAAAGTAGAACTTATTCAAAGTGGTATAATACTCTTTTGAATAATAATAATAGGTTGAGGAAAAAATTTCTCGCATTTTTTAATAAAGTTTATTTACATTTGACTAAAGTATGTAGGTACCATTTTGTTCGATAAATTTTTGCCATCTTGTAGAGACATGATTCCATTGCCATAGAAATTTTGGGGCCTCATGACCAAAAATGTGCGACATGTGGTTCATGCAGTCCTGGCGTGATATTAATATGCATAATATGCATAAAGACCTCCCACCCAAACTCTTTTTGCTAAGTGACAAAATATGTGTGAGGTCAAGTGTTGATCATGATGAAAAACTATAGCCCTCTATTGATTAATTCTGCCCGCATTGTTCGCAGTAGAGTTCAGAATCGTTGGTTTTACCTGACGGTAACAGCTCATAATGAATAATGCCCTTCCAATCCCACCTTACACACAGCATCACCTTGTTTCGAGTTAACCCGGGTTTCGCCAGTATGTGAAGCCTGACCGACATTTGACCACGTCCTTTTTCGTACGTGATCCACTTTTCTTACCAACTTCTTCAAAAATAGTTTGTTTCCATTACGGCATAATAATTAATCACAAATGAGTACACGTTTCATTAGATACCCCAATATCCAACTTTTTTGTGTACTGAGCTTTTTCAAATGCGCCAAAACTGTTTTGTGGTCAATTCTCAGTTCTTCAACTGCGTCGTAACTACTGATGTGCCGATCTTGCTCCACTTTTTCAAAAATGGTATCCAATTCATCCGTAACAGGGGACCGCAGCGGTGTGCATCTTTGACATAAAGATTTCCGAACTTAAAATGTTTAAACCAAATTTGTGCTACTCTCTCAGAAACTGCACTAGGTTCATAAACGTTATAAATTGTTTTCGCGGCTTGCGTTGCATTTTTACGTTTCTTGTTATGAAATTTTAAAATGTATCGAATTTCTTCATAAGATTCATTTATTTTGACAGTAATAAAAACAATAGATTTTCCTAATTTGAATTCGAAGTTATCTTCTTTACAATTTAAATTTTTTAACGATTCTGTAATCAGCCAGAAAGATTTTATTACAAGTTTATACATACTATGTCCGAAAAGACTTGCCCAAATCTAATACATATATTTTTCTCTACTATACGCTCTAGAGGAGAAGAATGGACGTTTGAGCCAGCGGCATGTATCTGAAGGAAATTCCGTCCAACTTCTCACGGAAGTATGCGTTAGTGCGCTATGCTATGAATCATCCGTCTAGTGTGCAAAGTCATATCTAAATCCGACGCCCTCCATATCAGAACCCTGATCCTTTACACTCCACGAAGGTATAAACTAACAGAAATGTGCCACCAAAAAAACCACACGTCCCGGATACGGAACAGTAACCATTTTTACTGTTGTTAAATAATAGTATATTCAAACGTTAGAATATAAGATAATACAACCCAATGATCTGATGGTAAAATTATATTTAGTCGTCTTTTAGCCGACATTCTGAATGGTTTTGTTGAATCACAATTATTTCGATATTATTATAAAACTTTCATGAGTCTCTTAAAACTCTATAGAAATATGTCTGATAACATTTCCACAACACGCTAGCATATAAAAAATCTATATAGCATTTTTATCTTGTTTCAGGTAAACATATGGAATGGAGATCCCAGAATCCTCTACAATATCCTGTCCTGTAAACTTGAACTGGCTTAGTTCCTTATGTCTGTGACCACGGACCGATACAAAGAGATGGATACGCTGCAGGTGTCGCACGGCCACAGCAAGGGATCTAGTAGGAGCCAATCGCCGGCTACCGAGCTGGCGAGGGATCCGGCCGTGGTGACCGATGACGTCATCCGCTCTAGAGTGCAATCGCCGTCCACCGTGCACCATGTCGTCAGTGTAAGTAGTACGTCAGTATTATAATGACTATAAGGTCTATGGGTGGTTAGCTGTAGAATATATAGATAAGATTGAGTGTGCGTAAAAGTTTAAGATTGCGGAGGTTAAGCAACTTGAAGGTTCTAGTTATTGTATTGAAGAGCTATTTCCTTACCTCGGAGAGTAAGCAAGCTATGACGTTGGAAAATGTTCGTTCCAGAGACTTGTTAACAGTGGAACTAAATGATGGTCTGGCGGAGGAAATTGATAGTTCGGTAGTTAACACGTTCGATCACCAATTGAGATTTTTACCGATTAAGCTATTGCAAGAATCATCGGATGGATGGCCAATTTTGAGCCAGCAGCGTACTGAGTTACGATCAGATCTCATGTATTTCTATTCGAAAGCATGTGATATAACAGTGGGGTATTAATAGGCTGATGATGATGTCTATAATATACTTCTGTTTATTAACGTGGCATTAGCATTAATTAATAATGAAAATAGAAAGTCGCAGGACCAATTAGAAAGCAGTCCAGCTCCATATTAATGTTATTATGTCAAACTGCAATTAGTATTGTTAGTGACAGTTACAGTGGTCAAGGCTTTGAGCCAATTATACAAAAATATATCTTGTGATGTATGTAGTTTCTTCTAGATAAAATAATTTTTAAATTAATATAGGTATATATTTTCGGAGCCTATTCAATGCGAATAACAATCGAATCGTTCCTCTTTATCAATAAAGAAGTGTTGAATAAAGCCCTGGGCTACAAAGTGTGAGTCCTTTTTTTTCTTTAAAACAGTAATAATATGAGAAAAAACAAAAAAAAAAGTTTTTTTATAAATTCACGTTTGACTGTGACAAAATCCTTAAAATATCATGTGAGTAGTTTTCCTAGTTGCAGCTCGTTTATACTTTATTTCCTAGTACAAAACCAAAAGGTAATATTATTTGGTCTGCACGCCTTTGGTTTTAAAGTGATCTTAGCATTTAAGACGTTGATGTAAATACACATTTATTTTCTTATATCACGGTCATGCGTCTTGACAGTGTTTCTATGTGTTTTATTACGATCTCATTGGACTTTGGAGTTTGGAAGATATTTCCTACTGTCGGATTTGGGTAGTGAATACTTGTTTAGATGTTATTCTCGCGTCTGTTGTGAGCATCCTGATTTGATGCGTTTCCCGCGTCATAGACAATATAAACAGAATGAACAGAAGGTCTATTGTTCGTTACCCAAACAGTTTATAGTAACAAATGTAGGGAAAAATATTACTACCTTCACGACATCGTTGTGATATACAGAAGGATAGCTTACTAAAGCGCATTTAATATAAGGGTCATAACCATAACACACTTACAAGCAACGGCTCTAAACAGGCGATTTAATTGCCATTTCGATTTGTTATATAATGTCGGCTGTAAACTTCAAGTTTTTTATGTTGATGTTATATATGACATACGATTTGATGTTCTCTTTGAATGACAAGTTAATTGCTGGGTTACTGTGCAGTTTAAATATGATATGACCCTTAAGTTTACGCTGAAACTGCACTTAGTATCAGTCAAAATTCATGTTATTAAACAGAAACTTCGCAAAGGTTAACCTAGTACGAAGTTCTAAGGGAGTAAGTAATATTTACTCCTAGAAGGTAGTAGGTTTGCTTATTCCCTGTATAATGTGAATTAGGACTAAAACTTAAATTATAATTTTAGCGTGAATTTACTGACGATAAACCTTGTTTATTAATAGCACTGTTAGATTGGATGTGCAAACTCGCGTTGTAGTAAGCTATCCTTCTGTACCTTTTAATTTACTTGTATCATAGTTAGGAGATCTGCCAAAATCGTCACGCTTATCAATGTGTGATAATAAAATGCAGCTTTATTCCAACACATCATATGAGCATGTGATCCATAGATCTATCAATGAAAAATGTTAATGATAAAACAAAAATTGTTTTTCTAGGGCTGTTGTGTATGATAACTATGTCTTTTTATAAACTTATCAGAAAGTTCGGGGAATAGTTCTAATATCAATTATTAAATTACGTAATAGAAAATAAAAGCTTACTTCGCTGTCTAACATATAACCTCCTCCTTTTCAATATTGAAATCGGTTAAAAACGGAAATTTTCTGTATTTATACATTATAAAAGTATCTATTCTATATTTAGGGTTGCCAACATATTGTATTAAATAGTAGTCTTGTTATTATACGAAAGTAAACTAGCTTACCATAAACAATAGTTTTTCACCATCTATTCATCCTTTTCGAAGATAAGATTCAATCATAAGTTTTGAATCGATTTTGAATCGATAATAATATTTTACGGTTTTGGTTAAAATGATGCATTGTTAACTGTATACTGTTACAATAATGTATCTCAAAAAATATCTTCTGTTAATCTACAGTTCATTAAGTTTTCCTTATGTAAGGAAAGGTAAGGGACACATTATCTGAAAAAATCATATACCTATATTATATTCCCCAGAAAAAAAAATGACAACCCTAATAGCTTTATTTATAGTAATGATAGATTATCTTTCATTGTTGGTCGTGTGTTTTTTTTGTATTAAGACATGTCGCTGTCTTTATGTTCAATAGTTAAATTAATGTTTTCATAAAACTCATTACTAAGTTGACAACATTTTATTTCTTTACTTGACCTTCTTTTGGCTTCAAACTAGTTATTCAGTAATAATAATTAACTTGTTTCACTACTTCTTGCTAGGAATTGGGGGACACCTTGAAATAGTTTTTTAAAGAAATAATAAACGTTTTAATGAAGGGTTCGGTGACAAATGTCAACGGATATATATCTATTAATACTCGTATATATTTTGATATTTATAATATTTGTTTTGTCAGTTTGAATATTGAGTTTCAGCTAGAAACTTAACCAACCCGATGTGACACTGGTAACAACCCGAAGTAGCAATCTTACTTGCTATATATATCCGATAAATATCAACTTCGGATATTTTGATATTTATTATAAATATCGGATTTTTGTGAACCCTGTTTTATTGTTATGTTTTTGTTTACGAGATCGTTACAAGTATTTTTAACAATTCATATGTAGATAATGAGGAACTTGTGCGTTCGGTCTGCTATGTGGAGGTTAAAGTAACTTTCGCAAAGGCCTGTCATATGATGGGTGACCCAGAATTTACTATCTCGAGCTCCGTCAGAGCCTTGTTTAGAAAGCCACGTTAAACCGTTAAGGATTAACGGTTTAACGTAGCACTTATCAATAGGTACTGTGACCCTATTTACCTATTTGTCTCCATTTATTTTCGGTCATTAGACGGTTAATCTGGGTCGTGACCACATCAAAGGTGATAAAAATCTAAAAGAAAATCAAAAAGATGATAAAAGTCTAATTATCTAGCTAATAAATATATTATTAATAATATAATTGTATTTCATTTATTTCTTCCACAAAATAATATGTGCTTTTCGTTAGGACATTAACGTGCTTATGATAGCGATTAATAATTTCTTTTAACAAAATCAATATAACGAAAATAAATACTAATAAGAAAACCTTAAAACAGCCATGGGCTGGGACTTGATTTTTTTTTAATAAAAAAATTTTTTTTTAATAATAGTCAGTTATAACGTTCCCAACGAATTCACTGTTTAAAATAGACTGTTAATTAATTAGTTCTGTCATACAATCGTGTTTATATAAATACTTAATGTGCTCAACACTTGTCGTCTATTAATTACGTCCTTTTGTGTTTTGTTAATATTATCCTCAATGTGTTATTTTTATAGTACCTGTGTGATAATTTTTGACTCATACAGTCTTATAACATTTATACAATTAATTTTTTAATTTCTATTTAATTATAAAAATAAATAATTCGATTTGATTGCGTCTACTAACATTAGTTAGTATAGATAAAGATTGCTATAGTAGCTGGTAATCTTAGTCAAATTAATAACGATATGCCACCATAAAGTAGTTAATTATGATCGTATTTATAACCTTTGAACTTTGATCTCCGATAGATCAAAGTTTCTTTCTCTTTGATATTCTATATTAGTTGCTGTATTTGACATCAAAAGTTTCTTCTTACAGGAAATACTTGACATTAAAGCTGGTAATTAAATGTTAATGATTTTAAATATCTCGGTGGCGTAGTGTATAAGCGCCGCGGCCCGCGGTCATCGTTGTTAAGCAACTTTCGCAAGGGTCGGTCACGAGATGGGTGACCAAAAATTTATTATCTCGTGACACTCCGTACTTTGGAAGGCACGTCAAGCCGCTAGTTTCGGTTGCATTTGCAGTCGTTAACACCCTCCAATCCTCATTGAGCCAGCTGGAGGGTCGTGACCATGGCACATCCTCCTTAATGAATGAACCATCCATAAAGAAGGTTTGAGCTCCTGCAGTGGGGACGTAAAAGGGCTGATGATAATTTGAAATATGAAATTAATATTGTTAGACCGAGATAATATTCAATTTAATAAATGTGTTTTGTATACAACATGTGAACTCGTGCATCTAAAATTGAGAAATATTAATCGTTAAAATTGTTTTTCAAGTTGTTTAATTTAATATAATATAATTCATAATATAATCTGCATATCATTAAAACATATAAGTAATTTCTTGTATAATTAGTAGTTGATTTTGCGCGCTAAATACGAAAAGATGAGTTAAAATCATTATTCTTTTAATCTGTTTTCTACCAAAAAATAACGTCCTCGCTTTGTACCCGAGGGCTTTCAACACTACAATAATTTAATAAAAATAGTTTTGTACGCGTAAAATACCATCATCTGTCTCTTATCTATCTCGTTACCGGGCGCAATGAGATAGACAGGGGTAGTCTTTTATCTTTACACTTGCCTATTTATTTATACAAAAACAAATACTGGACTTTTAGCATAACATCAGTATGATCTAGTTCCAATCAAATTTCTGGCTTATTCAAGCTTAAAACTGTTGTATTGATATTTGTACAGCGCCTACGAATTATTTTTTAGACATTTGACATATTTCTTTTTTTTTTCATAATGCGGTCGTATTTGTATAAAGATAAACTTTTTTTTTTTTTGAAAATACCTTTAACATACTAATCCGATTATGAAAATTGTTTCATATCGGAAGCTACGTCATTCGCGGATGACAAAGCCCATAATTTACTAGTGCGAAGTCGCAGGAAAAGAGCTAGTATCAAATAAGAACTCGTTTTATTTATCTATTAGTATATCGATACGTTTCGTCATCAGGAGCCGTCTTCGTCGTCGTCGTCCCGGCACGGTGAGCGCCCGCATCACGTCAAGTCTCACTCGCGGGACTTGGGCAACAGCCCGCTCTCTGCAAACACCACCGGCAACAGTTCCAGAGAGTAAGCTTATACTAAATTAAAGACCTTGATAGCACTATACTATTTAATAGAATCAGGCGTAAAAGGAAAGCATTGTTAAAGACAACTCCTGAATGAGTGGAGACGCAAAACTCATGTAGTGTGTGTATGTGTGAGTGTATACGTGTTCAAGTGTGTGTGCGTGTGTGATAAAAATCGAGCGCTAATCGAATATTCAACCACATCTATAGGTTAGATGTGGTTGAATATTGAGGTTTCCTATACAAAATTGATATTTAAGCTCGACATTCATTCGATTTATACTTGATGTTTCTTTTTGCATGGAGTATTATTTACGAGAAAAAAACGTGCTATTTAGTTAATCGAGACCTTGTCTAGCACATATTACTAAAAGAACAATAAATAAATATTTGACCGATGCTATTGATCACACACTGAAAACATCAGACTGAAATAGCCTTTTACGGTTTCAAAATAATAAAACCCTGACGCCTTGATTTATAGTGCAGCGTTTTCTGTAATATTGTCTATCGATAAAATGCTTTTTTTGATGGACCCTGTTGAATGCAAAACTTACATGCATCGGTAAAATAATGATTGGTAAAATATCTTTATGTACAGTCAACGAAAAAAGTTTACAAATCTGTCAAATTTCTTCACTTGATTTCAGTCTTAATACATTGAGGTTTGAATTGAAAATCAATTGCCATTTTTTTACATTTGCTCATATGTATTATGACATATTTTTATTTTTACAGCCTGGAAGACTCACCTCAGAAGAAAATCCTATCGGGTCTCATAGCACCCGGCGATTATTCCGGTCCTGTCTACAGTCCTAACGTGTCTTACGCGCTCTCTTCCGATGAGTATGGTTCGCCCGCTTATAGAGGTGGGTACTAAACAACTTGAGGATTGGGGTAAGAAATATATGAGCACATCTCCTTATTCGTACCCGTTTGGTAGCCATAGTTATACTGGCACACACACGATCGCGTTACTAACTTATTTGAAATATAACGAATTCGAACTAACTCTTGTCAAATGATATCAAAAACAAACAAGGTGATGTTATTTAATGTTTCTGTGTTTCAGGTCAAGACGGAGATTACTCAAATCAAGGTAATTTTTATTTAGTAGTAGCCAAGGTCCTGTTTCATATTTGATTTAGAATTCGTATAGAAATTCTGAAATTTCCCTAAAATTAACAGAGACAAGATGTTGTTTTCGTTGTTACATATGGTATATAATACAATTATTTTGAAGGAATGGTTATTAAGCAGAGTACAGTCACGTGTTTAAATTGGAACGATAACTTATTGGCTTTAATTATATGTCAACCAACTAATTAAATTGAGCCATTTTATATTTTCAATAAGAATTATGTTGCTATAGGCAAGAAGAGAAGATGCATTATTTTATTGTTTGTATGCTGACCTGCTTTTTTATTTTCAGATGAAAGCGATGGCGCTAACGTGACGTCATCGAAAGCTCTAGCGGCCATTGCGCATCTAAACTCCAAGATTGAACGCACCAAGGACCTGATACGGTTAGAACAGACAATAAGAGACGGTGAGTGAACTACAGAAACTACTAATAAGGATAATTTAGAATACTCCGTCCTTATTCCATATTCCACATATCCTTTACTCTCTCTCTCAGAAGCTTCTGGACTTCTGGACGGATTTGGGTTGGCTTTTGTCGACAACAGCTAATTTTTGAAGCACAATAGACCAGCAAAGGCCTCTAATTGCGGAAAATTATAGCTTCTATACCTAACCTGTAATAGTGATATACTTAAAATTTGCACGGTCCAGTTAATATTTGCGTTAGGGAAAGTTTTTCAAGATAATGATATCTAAACCTGACTTTTTATAAGTATATCGATATAAATAATTTTATTTGCAGACAACGTAAACGAATACCTCAAGTTAGCGGCGAACGCTGATAAACAACAGCTGCAACGTATAAAGGCAGTGTTCGAGAAAAAAAACCAGAAGAGTGCTGTGTGCATCGCACAGTTACAGAAGAAACTAGAGGGTTACAATAAGAAGATTAAAAATTGGGAGGTGAGATTTCAATGATTTAAAAGTTCTGTAACAAAATTAATTAATTATCATTATTAAAATGAATAACCATTACGAGACGATCTATGAACATATTCTTAATTGTAATCAATTAATCTTGCTTTGAAGCTTTCTCTTACTCATATAGAACCCCGATAGAACTAAGAATTAAATTCGCACTGTTATAATCCATCGATTCTATTCCATCTATAGAGGCCTGTGCTCTTTTTAATTTATATCAACATCTTTAAATAAACTAAACGTACTCATGTTTCTTGAAATATCATGTGTTCATGTGGCTCGAAATGTCACGGTGACATGCGTGAGTAAAATTTTCCTTTTTTAACAAATACATTGAAGAAAAATAAATCTGATTAATAACTTTCCCAAAACGGTCTAGTAGCTAATTTAAAAATGGTATTTTAAACTCAAATGTTAAAAAAAGAAACTTGTAATGATAGGTGTTAGTTTTAAAGTAGGTATTGGCAATTCTAAAGTATTGGTACTTCTTAGGAACGTGACACTCAAAATGGAAAATGTCTCTCGATAAAGACGTTTTCCATTTTGAGTGTCTGAGTGTCACGTTCCTAATTTAATCTAAAATACTTGTTGGCTTTTTATAGCAACATGGCACAAGCGGGCAAGCGCACAGACCTAGAGCAGTATTACGTGATATGGGACAGGGACTTAAGTAAGTTAATATTTATATGTATTTAATATTTTTGCTTTTGTAGAATTGTATTTGGGATCTATACCATTATTATAAAGACTTGTTTGTTCACATCAAATAGGCTCCAGAACTAAGAGACCAATTATTATTTTAAAAATTCTTTCACCTACAAGATGCTACGTCATACGCGGGGAATTTAGGCTATAATTTACGCGGGTGAAGGCGCGGGAAAACAGTTAGTTTTATATTATAAATAGGAGTATTGATCTCGCCGGACAAACTCAAGTTGAGTGTCATTTCTTGGTCTCTCGTTTACCGCCTTTTTTATGGTACTGTAAAATTCCGCCATTACAGTTTTATTGTCACTCATTCGGTGATGTATTGAATTCAAGTTCAACTGAGATAGGTATATTTAAGAAATCAAACAGTTAGGACTGCTGGAGTCAGCGAGTGAATTTATAAAGTATAGCAGTAATAAATGACCTTTGTCCACTCTATCATACCATGACCACAATAGGACCGTTCCAAACAAAACGATATTATTTATATTGAAGAGTACAAGAATACATCCACTAGCTAGAATTGCGTTTTTGAAAGTGTACCCCTAAATATGTTAGGGTTTTGACGAAAATATGTTGTATAAATAAATACGTAGTAACGGGCATAGTACGCAGTTGATTGGTTGCAGTAAATATATTATCTGTATCGTTTGTATTCATGCTTGATACTTTCCTAGTACAGTTAACAGCACATCAGGCCACGCAGCATTGTTAATTATCACATCATATACATTGTTTAGATACCAAGATAAGTAGATAGATCTTTAACAACGAACATCAGTGCCACGGCATCTAGACTCAAGATAATGAAGAAAATTTAATTTGAATTATTAATAATCAATACTCCAAATCCGACGTAATAGTCATTCGAGCACAGAGGTCTTAAAAATATTCCACTTGATTTTAAATTTTAATGCATTGACAGTAGACTTCAATATCGATTACGAAAATTTAACATGGTTTACTGTTGCATTAGAAACGTGGGTGGCAACATAAGAGATGGCATCACCGGTCTGGGCGGTAGCGTGATGGCGGCGCCCAGGGAATTCGCTCATCTCTTCTCCAGGTCCAACCGTTTTGGTTCAGCGGACAACATCTCACAGTTAGCCGGTCTGTATATCCACAATCTTTTAAAACACTGCTCCTTGTTTTTATTTAGTTTTACTATGCGAACCAAATAGAACAGCTCTGTAAAACGACTATCTTTTCTGCATTGTGCATCAACTTGAGGTGTAAGGTGTGCAAAAAAGGAACCTAAAAATTTATTTTTATAAATCATTGGATCATATATCATATAATCATAATAAAGGACACGGGCGTTTTAAAATCCAAATATTTTTTTTTTTGTTCATATTAAAATAACTCCTAAGCCGTGAAGTTGATACCTAACCCGGTCCAATTTTATTTGGCACGCATAGTATTTGGGGAAGACGCCGTGTTTTGTCCTTTCATTATTCTTTGTTATCCCTTATTTTACATTCATTCATTCCCTTTAGGTATAATTATAGGTATTTAAAATCGAACTTTTATGCGAGCTCTATTGCTCTTCATTTATTAACTAGTAATATTCCTCTTTCCCATCCATCTTCCTTTCCTTACTGACTGTAATTTTTTTCTATTGAATTTCACGAAAATGTCTGATATTTATAAAGGTAGTTTCATGCTGTCCAATTATTTATATTCACTCGTATACATACTGCATATGAATATGTGTTAAAGCGAGGATTAAAGTTAGTACTCAGGTTAAACCATAGGCCATCTAAAGTAAATAGACAATGACAGAGAGCAAACGTCAAAATGGGACGTGTTGACTTAATTTCGTTGGATATTGGCTTAAACTTGGTACTAAAGTTAGACCTCGTCTAATAATAAGACTGCATCGGACTTATAATCTAACGGAACAGATTATAAACTGACGATACAATGTAACAGTGACGCATATGCAAAGCTTTGCGCGGCGCTTAGTAAAGTAGCTAATGCAGTATCGATGCTTATGTGGTGTCATATAAATAGTCTTTCGTCACTTTAAAGCCAGCTTACATTCAAATTTGTATTTGATGCCTTAATAATCGCGCTTTTTTATATCTTCATATGAATAGGTGAATTAAGTGGACAGTACACTTTAGAATGCGATGCCAACTGATTAAACGTGAAGTGTTTTATGTCGAACAGTTTCGGATATTGCGAGTCGCGTACTGTTCAATATTACGAGTACTTAAGTCCCGGGTTCGATTCCGTGGTCAATGTAGAAAGTGCACTTTTCTATATTGTTTTGGATCTGGGTGTTGTGTTATTTTCGTTGATTCGAACATTCTTTTAATTTAGTGAAAATTATATTGAAGATTTTCGCGTTTTTTGTATGGGAGTCTCCTTGAATGTTTATTTTATTCTGGTTTTTAGTATTTGTTGTCGAAGCGACAACAGAAATACATACATCATCTGTGAAAATTTCAACTGTCTAGCTTTCACGGTTAATAAAATACAGCCTGGTGACAGACAGACAGACAGCGAAGTCTTAGTGAAAGGATTCCCGTTTCACCCTTTGGGTACGGAACCCTTAGAAGGGTAACTTCTATCGAGGCTCTATAAATTTACGTTTGGCCACCATAGAACTTTTTATTATAAACACATGATTTGATAAATAATACCTTCATTATTTATACCTTGTATTCGACGCGACACGTCGTATTTAATTGCTTGTCATCACATACTACCAGCTTTATTTATTTCTGGTAACAACAAAACGGGTATCATTGCCCATGTCTTGTATTAAAAATATTATATTATTTAGGCTTTTATGAAATTCATAAAATATATATTTCATTTAACTCATAAATTAGCTTTATCGACCCTCTCATAAGTTATATTATTAAATATTAATACATGTTATTATTAAAATTATTTACGTATCTCTTTTATTTGAATTTATAATGAAATGTATTTATTTTGTCACAGAAAACACGGGTCCTTGTGAGTATATTGTGTAGTAATATACGTAACATTGACTACTTTAACTTACCTTACTTGCTATCATCACTTATATGTAGCGACCGGAAATATTTAGAATTATCTATTAGATTATAAAAGGTAAAAAATCATTGAACTTACAATATTATAGAGCATTGACCCGTATATTTTTAATTTATTTAAAGGTTTCTATTTTTGATGACCCTACCATACTTGTATTGACATCCCTGTCGGTTTGTTTACTTAAATAAAGTTGTGTATGAAATGTAAAATGTTGGTGGCAATTATGTTGCATAAATTAGTTTGAATTCAGTTTTAAACTTGTCAAACTGCGTTTTCAATCCTTTAAATAACTAAAAAACAACAGAAGCACACTCATTATTGGTATAAAGGAGTATAATATATTATATTTTCCTTTGATTATATGTGACTAAGCAATAATGATAAAACTAACAGAAAACAGTTAGATTTGTTTGAAAAGTGCTACAACAGAATTGGCACCATTAATGAATTTACAACATTTTATATTTGTCTCTAGTAACATTTTCATTAGTGTTGCTTACACTCATTTAGTACTTGGTGTTTAATTACGTAGTAATAATATAAATATGATCAAAGATATATATTAAATATTACATACGTTCCTCTCACTTCTAGGTGAGAAACTACCGCTTACAGTTTCTAAGTGCTAATTTCTAACAATTAGAAAATATTTCCGGTCAAAAACGAGTGTTTTTCTTATATATTAACACTGGATGTTGTTGGATGCAAGAAATATACATTATAGACTATAACATATCCTTTTTAACACTGATTGAACTATGAAATATTTAACCAGCATCCTTTCCACTAAAACACTTTTTTCATTAAACTACCTTTTGCTATCTTAATATATCATACTGTAATCTCGTGATTTCGTAAATTATAGACATTCGCGTGCATTATAGTTTCCCGTTATCTGTATAATATCAGAAAAGACATATTAATATTGGAATGAGGCTGGATTACATCATAAAAGCGGTTAAGGTCTATGTCAAATTTGACAACAACTGTCAAGCTGACTTTAAATATTGACAATAGCATGGGGTGCATCATCCTCTTTCTTTGCATAACAAATTAATAACTTTAACCAGTGAAACTTGGATAGCCCGTGAACAGATAAAGTTATAACGTCCTCTGCCTAATGCCACGTTATGACAAGTCATTATTTGCTTAACCGGTACTTTAATATGTTTGTTATTGTAAATCAATATAAAAACAATGAACCTCTCGGTTTCATATAACGTATCAATGTGCGAGATTTCATCTAATCGTGTATGATATCGTCATTCAATGTCAACCGGTTCGCATTAGCGGTCTGAGTAATGTGATGGGTTATTCTATAACTACTTTTTTCATCCCAATGTTTTCATTTTAGTATTTTTAATTTTTCTCGGGAAAATCTTACAAACTTTTTGAGATAAAATAATCGATGAAAATTAAAATGGATTTATTTATTGTATAACTAGTGAATTCTGGCGTCAAACCTTAGTACTTATAAGCTGTTAATTTATCTTATTTGTGAAAAATATCACTTGTAATATTGTATAAATTTATTAGCATACAATACATATTTATTTGATAACATACATCTCATATACAAATTATATTTTTATAATTACTTGTATTTGTGGTAAATTTCTATTAATAATATTCTATTTGACGTGTATTGATATGAGACTGTTGCAAAAACTATTTACGATTGTCGATTTGAATCGAATCAGAGTTTATAATATATCATACCTTATGATTTGGATAGTTTACGGTAATCTACCATTTGGTGCCATACTTACAGTAGAACAATTCAGGGTGGTTTACATCTCTTGAGTAATGAAATGCGTTGTTGAGAAAAGACCACTTAGTTTACTCATGCTCGCTCACGAGAATTAAACTGCGAATTATAGGTATAGTAGTTGAGAATAAACCACCTATAGTTTATATAACTGAGAGTCATCGTCAGAACATTTTCAGTGGCATGTGATTCAAGTACGGTGTGAACTTAATCGAATTAAATGTAGTGACATGTTATTCAAGAAGTGCAGAAAATGCCGTAAAAAGTGTAAATATATTTAATTATTTAATTCATAGAACATATGTTCCATTCGATAATGCATTTTATTTTTACACACAGTAATAAATTAGACTTACTATTCGTATTATATTTATTTAGAACTAGTTGTGCTGTTTATTGTATTTTACGTTGTATTATCAAGTTGACTATATATAGTAGTAATATATATATATGTGTGTGTGTGTTTAGAGCACAATGTCATAAAAGATAAATTATTAAAAAAAACTATTCCATTATTTAGATTTTATAAAATGTCGGTCATTTTTTTGCATTTAATATGCTTCTTGAGTATTTTTTGTGTATTAAACAATATTAAACCTGTCGAATAGTGACTATCGCTGAATTTGGATACAAAAAACGGCTTGGTTAATACGCAATGGCTATCTTATAAAATAAATACTTGAATAAAATTGACTGTCTTACGCATATCCTATCTGGATTCAACAGATTTTTTTTTTCTATAAATATAATATAATGTGTTTGAAAATAAAATGAGTAACGTATTATAATTGAAAGCTATATACATATAATTGAAATATTTCTGTTGGCTATTTTAAGTAGCTTACTTTATCATTGATATAATTAAGATCATTAGCAGCAAAACTCAACAACATACTCTATAAATGGTAGGCATCCGGATGATGAGAGGTCATGGGTTCGTGTCCCATCTGGGGCGGAGACAGTTGCATTTGTCAAGAATTTATTCTATAAGATGGAAATCAGTACTGTGCTTTTAAAACAAAACTTATTATCCTAATTATCAACATCATAGCACCAATAAAAAGCCTGCATACGCTGGTGTTTCAAACTGAACCGTGTACATTTGAATTAAACTTCTATGTTCAACCACATAAAGCTTAATACACTAATGCAGTTTTATGTGAAACTTGTTGCTTATCATGCCGTCTCGTTCTTGCACGCCAGCCCCTCAACACACGGAACTGAGAGGTAAATAAACGCATTAATGTTCGTGTTGTGTCGAGTTTCACGTTGTTCTCTACTATAGATTTGATTTGTTTATTATGTTGAAAAAATGATTTGAGTAATGTAGCGTTGCTTACTAATCTAACTTTACCACTTTATTGTATTTTGAATTGCGAGTTTAGTTTAGTTTTCTAATTACAATGTTACAAAGACATTTTAGTACTTGGATGATTTTGATGTGAAATTAGGCTTTTCAATGGAAAAAACTCTCGATTAAGGTTGTTTAGATATATAGCCGTCAAACCAATCTTTTAAAACATGGTCTACCTACATAACTTACATATTTTTGACAATATTGGAATAGACAAAATTCCTATATCTTTAATATAATTGTGTTTTGCTAAAACATGGTCTTAAGATTACATAAATTTGAAATCTTCGACGTAAAAATACTCTACTGTAATAACATTGCCACACTGGCGATTGACATACTACAAAATAACGGCTTTAGTTCTAAATTAAGCGACGTGCCAAAAAAATCCTTGTTGCACTAAATGTTACAACAATTATACAAGTTTGAAGCTTATTAACTAAAAAACAATCCTATATAATAATGTTTTTGATAAAGTATAATTTTATATTCATAACGAAACATGAATTTAACTAATTTATCTGTATAACGATAGTGTTAGTTGGTGCGTAAATGCACGTATTGAGTTTTGCTACAACGGCAGCGAACGCGTCGTCGGAAGGGTCCCGCGCGTCCGAGGCGGGCGAGGCGGCTGCGCCCCGCGGGTCCACGCTGCCGCGCGCGGCCACCTCCCCCGCGCCCAAGTACTCCCCCGACGCCTCCCCTAGCTCCTCTGTCACCAGCGAGGGCGCGCCGTGAGTACCAAATACTACTACGAATTAACATCGTCATTATCAGCCCTTACGCCCTCACTGCAGTGGCTAGGGCCTTCTTTATGGCTAAGGAATATGGGCCATGACCCTCCACGCTGGCTCAATGCAGAATGGAGGGTGATGGAACGAATTTACATCACACTCGAATAGGGTTACCAGTGAAAAAATACAGAGATTTTATTGCCGTTTGAGATATTTCTCTCAAACGTACGTTACAATTTTATAACGTCATGTTATTATCGATTTTATACAATACGGATATCCGGATTAACGCTCACTCGTTGCACATAGCAAAGTAAGGGAGATTATTTTAAGTTTGTAAAAAATTTTATTAAAGAGATCTTTAAAATTCTGAATATCCTGAGATATAAGATAGTTAATTTTATGCAGCTAAACTAATGGCCGACTGTAGGGGTCAAAAGTCCTTACTGGAAAAGTTAACTTATTTTCATCTAAAATTTACATTCAATCCAAAGCAAAAAATATGAATTAGTTTTCAACGAAATCAAAGAAAATAAAACCAGTAGTCGGCCGCTTCAGGCCGTGTACTGGTTTAATCCTAAAAATCCAAATCCAGTAGTCGGCGCACTGAATTATAATATAATAAACAAATAAAATGCCTCTAACGACTAATTAAATGTCTTTAACGCCTAATTAAATTACAACACAATAATTTAATAATAACATAACATAATAATCAACCAGAATTCACAGCAAACTCATAAAAAACTTACCATAATCTTGAATACATATCCTTATGAAAACAAATAGAATGGTGGACGCTTTTGGTTATTTCATTGGCAGCAGTGAAAATCAACCGGTTTTTCTTTCGATTAGAAGGTGAACGTATTAATTTATAAGGGAGCATAGATAAGATCAGACGTCATTTCAATGGTGTAAACAAAGTTCAACACTATTTATATGACTTTAAAGCCTTACAGCCGAACACAGGTGGTGGTGAATTATTAAACATATTATGTTAAGGTTCCCATCAGAACGGAATACGTGTCTTTGAACTAGCCAATAGCGTCGCCGCAGTTACCTCGCCCACCACCTTCGAAATGCGACTTAAAAATAAGCGTTTTCGATAACTTATGATGCAACGGAGGTAGCATCTGATACTGCCTCTGATGCACAGATAATCTTCATGGATATTGTTTTAAGACAATTATAAAAACGATTCAAAATTTTCCGATGTTTAGTTCAAGTTCAATAGGCCCTCGGGTGCCATATTAATAATATACAGTTTCCCGCCAGGGGAACGATTACCTAATTCTATAACTAACCATAGCTATAATCTTCAAACTATGATATCTAACAATTTCCACAAAAAATATGTTATTGCTGCATATTTGGATGTAAGAAGTCCGCCTTCTTCAGCTCTGGTATATATGCGATCACCATTAAATATGCATTTTATGCAATGCCTGCTTATATGCTCAATGACTGATTATATTAAAAATTACAAATATTGTTGTTTTACCACAGTTATCCGACACAAACGGGCTCCAACAACATTTCAGAACCAACGTTCACTATAAAACCTATATTGAATGAGTTGCGGGAGCGCAGAGAAGATTACGAACGTTTAGCAGAGAAAATCGATGCGCTAAAGGTAACTAATGAAATTATGATCTTGAAACCCCGAGTAGCTATTAAACTAACTTATAATTCAAAAATTCTGGCTAAATAAACAACATTTTTTCTGTATGGCAAGAATCATAAAAAAATTGTTTCTCTCTTCGTTTCTGCAACAGAGAGCTACGCGCGCATTTATTTTTGTAATTTTTTAACCTCGTAATAGGTACAACTAAATTTATTAAAATACGTCTGTGTTGCGTACGGATAAAGAAACATGTAAACATTGTGTGTGTGTGTGTGTATGTAACGTATGTAATACAATAACAAGTGACCATCGAAAATAACCAAACATAACATTAATAGTGAGTAAGCAAAGCACAACCCAGTTCAATTCACGTACTCACTAGCTAGTATTTATTTGTTAACGGTACCGAGTGTTGAAAACAATTGTCAATATATTACGCAACCAAAATGGCGGCCAAGCGCATTAGCAACTTGCTGGGATTATAATATGTATAGGTTACGTTATGTTTCAGAGTTTATCACAGGAGGTATCATTCTTATCGGCGGCGTTACAAGAGGAAAGGTTCAAGACGGAAAGACTGGAGGAACAAATCAATGATCTCACGGAACTGCATCAAAATGAGGTATATTTATAAGGGTACTTATATATTCTTTCTTATTCCGGAGTTTCTATTGCAACATTAGAGCACTTAAAGCAAAGTATGACTGGTGTTGGTACTTAGGTTTTTTTATTTGTATAAAAATGCGCGATTTTCTTATATGACACCATCGTTATCAGCATAGCTCAGTGGCCCAGTGACATGGGCCCGGAGCGGAATGGTAGGTGTTAACAACTGCAGATGCAGCCGGTTCCAATGCTTACAGCAGCTTACGCTTACGCCATAATAATTGTTCACTTAATTGAAAACTAGCCTTTTATTAAAGTTACCGATCACTGCGCTCACGAGCTGTTTTATTTAGATATCACGTGACCTATGTGACGTCGACACTCGTTCACGTTCAGACTTTTCATATCACCTTGAAAGAATTAGCACATCATTGAAACAAAAAAGCACTACTTATTGACCGTTGAACAGAATAACATTATCGATTTATTATCATTTTAGTAGTTTTGTATGATTAAGAGCTGGTAAGTTTCTTTCGGTTGTTCTTCTTGTCAGCTAAAAGTCGTCCTGAACAAGTGGTAGGGGAATATTTTTTTTTGGACGATTCAAAAGTGCTTGTAATAAGTCTACTTGAATAAAGATATTTTCATTTCATTTTTTTTTTTGTACTTATATTGGATTGTTACGTATGCGAGATGGATTATGATTATCAACATGATGTATTTTGGACATAGGTGGAGAATTTGAAACAAGCTTTAACAGACGTCGAGGAGAAAGTGCAGTACCAGAGTGAGGAAAGGATACGAGACATACACGAAGCTTTAGACCTATGTCAGACTAAGGTGATCCAAACTAATTTGATATTGAGGCGTTAATTTTAATATAAAGTCTATGTAAAACTAGTTTTCCGTCAGGAACTTCGTCCGCGTGGCACCTAGGGTAATGTTTAGTTGGATAAATAGTAGCCTATATGTTAGTTCAGGTTTAGAATAGAATGAAACACAAAGTAGTGATTCTATATTGACAAGATAAACATTAAAATAATGAAAGCGAAACAAAACTATTATTTATTTTTATATTTAATTGATTTTCAATGTCTACAACTACATGTAATAAAGAAGCAGGGTGATTGAAATGTTCATAATATCTAGCCCATTCTAAGTAATACAATAAATTCATGACATTGGCGCAACAACCCAATGTTCACCTTCCTTAAATACAAGAACAGTAATCAGAAAAGGCATTCTGAACATTTTCTCTTTAAAAAAGAACGTACGTATTACACGTACGTTCTCCGTACGTACATCCATTTAAGTGCGAACTGTGTTTAAAATAAAATCTTTATATGTGTTTCGTTCCATCAAAAGCTATTGAGAGATAATGAATGAACTGAACAAGATTTGCCAATGCGAACATAAGAGAGGGAGATAGAGAGTTAAGTGCAAGGAATGAGCATTGTTTTCTAATACTGCCGCTTTTATTAGTACATTGAATACTGACCCCAGTCAAAATTCCAATAGCAATATCACACATTTAGCCATCGATTTGTCAGTACTTACTCATTTATACCTAGCGTAGGTTTTTTGAGCATTGCCCTTTTGGTTTTAAAAATACAAAAAAAAAATGCCCTATGAAAGGTATGTTTGAAAATAAAAATCAGCTGATTAGAATTTCCAAATAACACGTCGGAATCTGCTGCAACAATGACACCAACAATTCCACAGCTAAATCGCCAACACTCGAACAAAACAAGTGACACTCTGCACAGATTTACTGAGTTTTTAAATTATTTAAGCAAGAAAAACGAACCCAGTGACTTGTCGTAACAACGTCCGAGACGTCACTCATTCACGTGACGTCATATGGTTTTCAGATTAGTAAACTGGAGCAGTGGATGGCGGGCGGGGGCGGCGGCGGTGGGGGCGCGGGCGGGGGCGGGGAGGCGATGGGCGCGGGCGCGCTGCCGCCGCGGCTGCTGCTGGTGAAGCTGCTCAACGTGGCGCTCACGCTGCTGCAGCTCGCGCTACTGCTGGTGGCCACAGTGGCCGGCGTCGCGATGCCGTTCCTGCGCACCAGGTACCGTACTAGGGCTCCGTTCGTACCCAAAGGGTGAAACGGGAACCCTATTACTAAGGCTTCCCTGTCTGTCTCTCTGTCTGTCATGGATGTAACTCATGAACAATGACAGTAAGACACTTGAGATTTTCACAGATGATGTAGGTATTTCTGTTGCCGCTTCAACTGCAGAAACTAAAAAATAGGATAAAGTAAATATTTCGGCTCGCATACAACAAACATGTTTTTGACTCGCTTCCGGTTCGAGATCCTCCGTGCGCGAGTCCGATTCACTTGGTCGGTTTTTAACGCATGGGAAATACTCTGATTTTGTTTACGAATGGGGAATGCCATGTCGCATCATCCAGGCCGGTGGCTAGTGCGGGAGCGACTCATGAAGAATGAAAAAGATGATCAAAGTGCAGTTGGAAAATACTAAGTAAAACCTTTATGGAGTACCCTCTCACGTAGGCGCAGGCTCCAGTGGTTGGCAAGGAGTGCCCGAGGATTTCGTCTGGAAGAGAAATGCAGTTTATGCCTCATATCAAAACTCTCCGACCATTAGAAATGAGGTAGAAGCGTGATTGGACTACCTGGTGAATCCGATGCGGAGTACCGTCGTGTAGGGGAAGTCCCGGACAGAGGGAACCGAATCCGAATTAGGTATCAATCGCTGCCCTGCCCATATCCGTGAATAACGTCGTTAGTACATTAACGCAATCCTATGTGAATGCAAAACATTTGCGAAATCTTTTCAGTTGTATGTGCTTTGTCTCGCTCTATTATTAGCTCTATGTCATATAACTGCGTCCTTGTCAGTATGGTTTTGCAGTCAATTGCGAAAAAGGTCGTTACACAGTCGCACACGTTTCACATTCTGAGTTGCCACCCGGCCCGGTTTATGATGATATCCGAATATCAAGAATTTTGTTTCTCAAAAGGTGGCAAACCCTATAATCATTCGCATAGACGTTTCACATTCGCAAGCGAATGGTCGGTATACTAATAAATTTCCCTTGTCTTATTTCATTTCATAATATCGAAATCTTTCGTAGAGTACGCGTGCTCACTACAAGTGTAGCGGTAATGGTTGGCGTTATGGTGCTCAAGCAGTGGCCTGAAGTCACTCAACTGTCGGAACATCTCGCGCGGCGTCTCAAGGAGTACCTGCTCGATAAACACCATGACAGGTAATGCCCGCGCCGACGGCCCAGCTCGAACTGGACTGCCACACGCGAATCGACGCTTTATATACCCCTCAAACACGACCGCGAACGCATTTTTTATTTTTTCGAATTTCGAACATCCGCTTTTTTATTTAGACAGAATGATGTGAATATTACACGGAGATCGTATTAAGGGTCTCTCATGAGACTGCAAAAGTGTATCTGAAGGCAATATGGACACTTTTTTTAATTTTCTTTTGCTCATAATATGAAAATAGTTGACGTCTATTTCGGTAAGTACTAATCATTTGCGCAGCACCGTTTACCACCGTAATAGGAGTAAAGATTACCCATCGTGCTTTATACTTATGCGATACGAGAGCTTAATAATTTTTTCGTACTAAGAAAAATTCGTAATTTCGCCTTATTCAATAAATTTGTCGCAGAATAATAATTTATAATATTTTTCGCCTTATCCAACATATTTGTCACAGAATAATAGTTTATAATATACAGATGTTTCATAACTGAATGCAGTGAGTATTACGGCAGCGCCGATTCCAATATATTTTTTATTTAATTAAATAGCAATTTCTTTTGCAATTTTATAATGAAACTGAGTCCCTATCTGTAGGTATTTTCGTCTCGTTCTCTAGATCCGTCCGTGTATAGATTTTTTATATTTTTATTCTAAAAGAGTTAATTTTTTTTTAACTTTTTCCTTTTGATTTTTACTAAAAAGAAAATGCGTTCGCCACCAGTTAACAATCAAAGGATTTTTTTATAATTTTAATTGGATAGTTTACAGATTCCAGATTTTTTATAAGCGAATGTAGTTTTAAGTTTTTATACTAATCTATTTCTTGCTTCACTTATACTACTTATTGTTGATGTAAATTAATCCAGAATGCTAAAATAAAGATAGAAAGTAATGTTGATTGACAGATCTTAGAAGTGAAGAACTATTATAATACACAAATTAGCTCTTTAAGTATTATTAATAAATTTAGATGCGCCGAAGATTCATGGTATTCGGCGTATCCTGAATCTTTTTCACTATTCGTATTCGGCCGAATTTTGCATTTTTTTATGGCGAATATTTTGGGTTGGAGCATTTCTATTTTTTTGGCTAAACGACATGGTATACATCTAAAAAAGACAACTTATAGAAAATTCATTCATAAATCAAAGGAACCCTTTGAAGCATGTGTTTAATAAATTAAGTACTGCAATCATCATCATCAGTTCTTTTACGTTCCCACTGCAGCCTTCCTTATGGATGGTTAAGGAGGATGGGCCATGACCCTCAACGCTGGCCAATGCGGATTGGAGAGTATTAAGGACTGCAAATGCAGCCGGCACCAACGGCTTAAATTGCCTACCGAAGCACGGAGTAGCTCGAGATAATAATTTTTTGGTCACCTATCCCGTGACCGACCCTTGCGAAAGTTGCTTAACGACTACAGCGAACGTCCGCCCGACTTTAATAGCAGTTTCTTGAATGAGTCACATTTGAGATAAGTATTATTTAAAATAACCTTCATATAGGTCATGCTTCTGAAATCATTGTTAGCTATATTAGAAGGAGCACTCAGTAATACTCTGGCCAAATAAAAATAATGAAATGATAAACCGTATAATTCGGCCGAATATTTGGTTCGGTAAAAGTTAAACCGAATACTATTCGGTGAAACCACTATTCGGCGCATCTCTAATTAAATTGTATATTTTGTTTATTTGTTTTTATAGTTAGTTTGTTTATTTAAGAATAAAAGATATATGAAAAAGATATTGCAAAATCCTTGTTTTCTCACTTAGAACACAGGCTTTCTTGTTAAATATGTATAATGAAATTCTAAACATTATGTATGTAATCATATCATTAAATATATTTTACATAAATATTTATCAATAAATAATCATTAAATATCTAGTTCTACAAGAAATTTTATGATGCAATGTCCTGATATAACCTTATATGTATTTTATATATGCTGTCAAATCATTAATGAAAATAATGCAATTGCAATGTGTTTTTATTTTTGTTTGTGTTTTTTTTTGTTTTTGTTAAATTACGTTTTTATTTGTTTTTTTCTTTAGGTATGAATGCAAGTCATTATGTGGTTGATAGTACCAATCGGCTGTTTAGAGGAATTCTTAAGTGATATTGCAAATATGTCTGTGAGTACATAATCTATGGAAACATATTATTACTCATTGTCAATACAATCGTCTATGGACATCACGTATTGTATAATTTTTATTTATTAGGGTTTTGTCATCACAATGACATTTTTTCTACTTGTAAGATTATTACTTCAATGTTCCTGTCATGTCTGATAAACTTAAAGAAATTACCGGCAAAATTGTGTTTTTCATATTATTTTAGTAACTAGGTTCGAGTGTATCATTTGACAGACCAGTTTGACAGCTAGTGTTGCCACGTGAATAAATTTTATGGTGTTGAGGTGAAGTCGATACCAGCCCTTAAAAATACAGATTACGAATTGGTGTTTTCAATTTTTATTTTATTTTATTGATTAAGGTACGTTAAAAGTACATATTAATCAAGGCTGGGTAAATTATTTTGGTGTTCGCTTGATATAAATTTCAATGGCTTTAATATAACCCTTAACACACTTGTTCCTTTTGTGTTGTCAAATCGGTCCGTTCATTTAAGCATAAGTATATTTATTTGTATAGCTCCGTAGTTTTTCATGAACAATGGTTTGGGTTCCCAAGATCTTAGTTACGTCACAAAGAATATTATCTTCAATAAGAATTTAGTTACGATAAAAAGTTATAAAAAACACATCACGTTAAGAAATAAGCAATAAATTCTTAATTCTTACTATTGATTTTTCAAAATTACTTTGTGCACTTTGAAATTATTGTGAATAACAAATAGCCTGTGATGTAAAAATTTGTTCATAAAGTAAAAGCAATATTTAGAATAGCAGTGACCTTTTATGTGAATCGTATTAGTCTGGGATAGTGGTGATAATTGTTGTATAATGCTCCTTACTCCGTCTAATTAACGTTCATTTTCATTATCAACTAACGCCGACTAAGTATTGAGAAAACGTCACCGACTAAAATCAATTGTTGAAATAATAAATTGAGTGATTAACGATGTCTAAGTTTTCTCAAAATAAAATATTATCGTCGCGTTCATTTGGGTGTTGGAATAGATGCGCTTAAGTAATTTGTCATATTTGTTTCTTTTTTTGTTTTCTGGCAACACTAATCAGAAAACAAAATTCTTAGTTATAAAAAGCATAGAAAAATTACTGTATTATTCAATTAAAGCGCCATAAAGGGTATCGCTAGATTCATTTTCTTTTTTTCTGTAATATGAAAGATCTTAAAAGTAACCGGTTTTTCTTTTAGTGACTTTAGCTTGTATATTTCGAAGTGAACAAATATATTTATAAAGAACATCTAAAATCATGTTTGGCAATCGAATTATCGATTGAAGCATTGTTTAGTTACCTACCAGTCTTATTATTAATCGATTAAAATGAATGATTAATAAATATAAAGGCGACATTTCAAAAACGACTGATGATTTTATGTTATCGTTTAAATAGTAATGGCTTTATTAAATTTGTGATGTTATTTGATTGGCGTTAGAAATTAGATAATTTTGAAATTATAAATATTTATTGTAATATTAGTGGAATGCGAATTTTATTATTTATGACTCGTGATTATTTCATGCAACATGGACGTTGTCAGTTTGTGAATGTTTAAAACGAGTCTTTTCTAAATTATTATGGAATTTTATTAGACAATTAACGAGTGTCACTGTTCTTTGGTCGTTTACTGCTAAATCATTAATATTTGAAGAAAAATTTCGACTACCATGGACATCACTATTTATACATTGCCTTGGGGGAATTTCTATCTGTCAGTGAGCAGTCAATGTCACTTTGACATTGACGTTTGATGAGATTCGCGCCAATATATCGCAAGGAGGTGGCGTGTTGTAAAAATATTGGAATTGTATTAATGTTCAAATTAATCAATTGAACAAAAAAAAGGTCTTATGATTTATCGTTTATTTCGCCATCTTCGATATCCTGGGTTCTGCCATGTAAGTGATTGAACCACACACCCAAATTACTAATTTTCAACAAAACAAAATATCAATCTTTGTATAAAAAATATGTTCATATAAACTTTAATTATATGGAAAATCTAAATCATATCTAGAAGAACCCTGTTAGAGCGAAAGCATTAATTTATAAAATTTTCTTGATAGAAAATATAGACAACCTTATTGGATGTTAATACAACTAACCGATAGTGAAATAAAAAAATAATTTATCGTTGGAGACAAATTCAAAGATTTCACTTATTAGTATAAATATTTAATAAATAATAATAGAAAGATATACTAAAATTTATACCTATTATTAAATATAAAAACTAAGCACTACTACCTTCTAGGAGTAAATATAACTTTGTATTATCTTACCCTTTGCTCAGTCTCTCTTTCTCTCTGTTAGTTTTGTTTGGGATAAAATAAAAGCACTTTATTGTACAACATAACAGAGATAGATAAATTAAGAAAATAAAAAACATAAAATCATTTTGCACAATAGGCGGCCTTATCGCTCAACGATATATTTCGATAACTTTCTTCCAGGCAACCTACACCTGTATGTTAAGTTTTACAAGCTAAATTAATCTTAAATATCTTTTAGGATTCATTTGAAATTTAACTGGGTATTATGAAACAACCAAAAAGTTAGATAGTTATTTGTTTTAGTACACTATCAAAGAACAGGACGACGTGAACAATGAAAATAATTAGGTAAAATCTCTTTTTTCTATGAATGAAAGTATATATTTAACGAGAATACATTCCAAAATTTCTAACTTTAATAGTAGAAAGATTATACTATATTCTGTCAGAATAAATATAAATACCAGTAGTACAATACACAGTTCTTTGGACATTGTTGAAATGTACAAACAGACTGACACTTGTTAGCTGAAATTCATGTATATTTGTGTATATTTTGGTAGCAATTCTGTTGCACAAACTAGACTATAATCAGTTTGAATTCTACCGAACTGCGTTTTCAATTGTAAATAACTAAGATAACATTAGTAAACGTATATTATAGTACACAGGAGTATAATTAATTTTCTCTCTTAACATTTGACTACAATATTAGAAAGTGATACAACAGAATTGGCACCATTATGTATTTTTTATATAGCTCTGTATATATTATATTAACATGTTAATTTTTTACGTCTTCGTAAATTTTCTGTTCAGTGTTAACATGTTGCATGCCTTTTCTTATTTTGTATAATTTGTTAGTAAAAAAATCACAAAGCAAATTTCTTCCCTTATTATTTTCTAATATGTTGTTTTCGTAAGCACAATCCTATTATTATTATTGTAAAACGTGTCGTTTTAAGTTTTTATACAATGTTGTGTATGGTTTATATAAAGTTATAAATGAACGAAGTCGCTCCTTTGGTTTGTAATTAAGTTATTAACAAGGCAATTTTAATTATGTCGAATGTTTGCCTCGTAAATTCCATTATAAGAAAATGATATATTTTTTTACCCTGTGTTCAAGTACTCCCATCGAAACATTTGTGAAGTTTTTATTTTTGTTGCCGGCTATGGATTTAATTAAATCATCACAATTTTAATAGCTCGTTTTATTTTTAATATATAACCTGAATTTATTGTGTTTCCTAAAAAAGCAACTGATATATGAAACGCACAGTCAACAGTGTGTGACAGGCTGAGAACGCCATCCGCTTCGATTTTGAAATGAATTGGTAAATCTTGTTCATTATGTATCAGTCCGCTAGAAAATAGAGACAGAGAGCCAAGTTACGTAGTTTTTGTGGCGCTGCTGGGCTCACGTCAGTCTGATAGCGCCACAGCTAGACATTTGTAGTAACTACTTACAATGGAGTGAAAGTTAAAATAATCTTTATTCAAATAGACTTCTTAAAAGTACTTTTCAATCGTCGAACATTTTTTTCCCTACCACTCGTTCAGGACGTCGTTTGGCTGATAAGTAGAACGACCAAGAAACTAACCAGCTCTAATATGAGTAATGACATTCACAAAAACCATGTCATTAATAGATCAATACATTATAAATAAAAAGAAAAAAAGGTATGTTGTTATAATGATAACATAATAATTTAATAATAATGACAACAAGAAAATTTTTGAAATATAATGAGTTTAGAAGAGATAACCTATCCAATTGCTGGACCATCTTAATTCCAAGCATTCTTATCCGTGGATTCTAAAAAACCTTCGGAAGTCATCTTTTAGTCCCTGATAAATTATAGCACGAGAGTTAAGCGGTCGCTCCCTTGGTGGAAACAAACTTATAATTATTGCTGTATGTGTCCTATTATATAAAAATCTGAGTATTTTTTTAGTGAACTAATTACAGATATTTTAATGTATAATTTTTTTGCTGTCTTTCGGAGCTCATATTCACACCAACGTCGGAGACCTTCTGAGTCGCTGCGATTCACAATTTTGCTATCTGAGCAGTTTAGTCTACCTTTTTCTATGTTATTCGTTGGCCTGATCTCCGCACTGGGTACTTACTGAGTGAGGCATACCCTTAGTTCTTCAACATATCTACTGAAATATCAAGCTTTAGAAAGCTCTCCCACATTTTATCACGATCTCCAAGGCTACGTGCAGTGGCGTAACTATACCGCAAATTCATCATATATTCATTTTTTTTACTAATTGCGAAATGTCAGGAGTAAGTAGTCTCCTCTTACCGGGGCCCCTTCTAGATGGGGCCCGTGGCATTTTGCCGACTTACCACCTTGTAGTTATGCCACTGGCTGCATGCCTTGTTGCCCGCGGTGCAACGCGCGGGTCACGTTACTTGATAATGTGCAGGCAACGAGCAACGAGCGGCGAATGCGCGACAGTGACTTGTGGTGATATATATTACAGTTATAACTAATTTTTAAACGTTATCGACATGTAAACCAGTATAATTAATCAATAAGTTAGTTACATATAAATATTTTATCCTAAGTAACTCATACGTTTAAATAAGCGATCTGACAGCTGGCGTCGAGAACGGGCTAATTTACCCGCATCGCCACTCGCACTCGTAAGAGACTTTAAGACTATTATTACTCTGTTATCATAGCACTGAAATAGATGGTGTATGTATATGTTAGTAATGCAATATATAACTGTTACTCTAACAATGACCATTAAAGTTTAAAACAACACTGAAATATCTGTTCACTTTTTCTGGACTACTTATGATTATAAATTTTATAGACAGAACTAAAGACAGGAGCCACCACAATCTTTAATAAAAGATACTGACTTAAGACTTTGCTTTAATATATAAAAATATAAAAATAAATAGACAACTGTAAAATTGACATATTTAAAAATAGCTTTATCGACGGGATTATTATGACAAGACTGTATAACTATAACATACCTTCAAAATCGTAATAAATAAGTAAAATGTTTTATTTTTTTATTATGACTATTTGTAACCAAAAATCTCGGAGAATAACTTCTTAAAAATTCGAAGTCTTCTCAACTTTATTCTGATATTTATCATTCTTGCTTTCTGTAATTATTTGTTGTAGTTTTACTCATTACAGTTTTCGCATATATTAATTTAAACCGTAATCATTTGTTTAAGTTCTAACAAAACCTTGTTATCATTATTTACTAAAAAAATATTTAAGAAACAATTCACAAAATCAAGAAGCCGTGATTATAAATATACATTTTGTAAATGCAATTAAAATATTACTAGGATTATACCATTTTTGTTATGGCTGAACGTCTGCTTCTTCGAAATCTAATCCACTGTCTACCTTATTAGTCTGGTCCTTGACCTTTGGCTCTAAACCATCAGGTTTCTCAATACCCAGACCCGAGTCATTGAAGTCTTCACTATCATGTAGGTCCACTATCTCAATAGATTCCATGGAATCGTCGAGATAAGCCGCGACGGGTACTGGTTCGTCCCTATTAATAAAATATAAAGAAATTTATTTTAAAAACTATAAAAAAATATAACAAACTTATAAAAGAAGAATAGTAAACGTTACCTTATGTACTAAAAAAATCTTTCAAAAATTTTGTGAATTTACAAACAAAAAATAATTATATCTTCAAAAGTATCAAAGAATAAGTACATAAAATATTATACGCGAATACTTCATATTAAACTTATGACACTTAACACTTTAGTGTGATACGAATTAAATTTAAACATTATCAAATTAAAACTCTTGCACAAAAAAAAAACCCAAATTCACGTCACTAAAGCACGTTTTACAAAACAACATGATGTATAAATAAATAGATAATACTCACATCTCAACATGTCCCATCATTAAACATCCCCAATGACAATCATGCTCCATAAATATCTATAATGTGTTATAGTGATACCACGTGTGAATGTGTTGTAAAAACCCCTACGTGGGTAAATCATAAATACATGAGTTGGCTCAGTAATTGTAAGAATTTCATGAAAAAGAAGACGATCTGTCGGGCTTTTACCATTAGGGTTTGATACGTAGAAGTTCGACCAACGACGGTCGGTAAATATAAATATTGAGAATAAAACAATGAGTGTTTCCTAATCCTTTATTTCAATTACCTGTCACACAATGCCTTACGTAATACTTATTATGATGGTGTTTTTTTATTATAATTATTTTGAATCCTCATTAGAATATATCTTGATAGTTTACCAAATAATGTAACTATTCAATATGGGTTATGTTTATCAGAACTGTGATGTTCTGGGAGACTGGATAAAGAATGCGGTATTGAGTACCGACCCCCTTTCAGAGAATCCCCGCATGCTTATTACAACTTATCTACCAATGGGAATAATGTCTCTGATTATATTTGATTTAATACAACAAACAACCAATGGTTGTCAAAAATTCAGATGTAATTAATTTCAAACTAAAAACCTTAAATTAATAATTTAGACCAGTAGTTACCAACGTTGACTGGGTTCGGACTCATCTGACAAAAATTTTCAAACTTTAGAACCTCAGTCTTAAAGAAAAGTGGGCATGAATATTGTTAATACCCTGATTCCCTAACTCCCATATTGGGGCCCACTTTATAAATGCTGTAAAATAATATATATTTTTTTTTACAGCCAAACATCAACATTATTGGTGATAGTAAATAATAAAAACGATATATGTTTTACCAGTTCCATTTTATTCATATATATATGCTTACATATTTTGTATCTAAACATTAAATGACAGCTAGCGAGTAGATCAACTAAACTTTAAATGGTAATTAGTTCTCTTCAGTAACCTATCAAATGAATTTCCATGATTAAATAATAAAATTCCGTTTCATATCATAATAAATCACTAATAAAGAATACTCAATAAAATCTTCAATTAAAACCTTAAAATGTCTAACAAAATAAAAATTTACAAGTAAAAAATATGATTTTTAAAATAAATCGTTGTATCCCTGAGGAATGTCTTAATTTCAATTAAAAAAAAAATGCTCTACAAAAATATTATTTCACAATATCAAACTTAATATAATGTAATATACATTTACTTTAACTTAAATAAAGAATAAAAGAAGATATGTATACTAAGTAAATATATAAAATAATATAAATGCCAATACCGGAGGTCATTGAATAGAAGGGAATGTCATAATTGGAAAAACTTTTAACTTTCTTAATAGTAATAGTGATACGTATATAAAATATTTCAATTGTATACATGTATTTGCAAGTACCGTGTCAAATATGATGTCATAATTATAAAGGACATTTTATATAACACAAAAACAATTCCAGGGTCACATTATTGCCAATTCCCACACACAAGCATATCACAATGACAAACAAATCACATTACAATCAAAACGTGTACCTGTAATAATTATTACAATTGTTAAAATTGATCTAAAATCAATAAATGTACAAATCATTACACAGATACATACCCAAGATTTTTCCAAAATTCAACTTTGAAATTGCAAGCAATAAAACGCAAAATTCTACTGACGGTTTTTTTTTCAACTAGCAATACAAGTAATAGTATGGTCCCGTTCTGTATACTGGTAACCCCATCTCATCACCGTAACGATATATTTATTGGAATGAGAAAAAACCTTGAGTATATTGTAGTAAAGTATAAAACGAAAATACAAGAACAACAAACAAACACCCTTCATAAGAATGTCAACTTTCTATATTGGAAGCAAAAATTACAATACGCGCGACTTCGAGAAACTTTTAATTATAATAAATTTACATAATAATAAAAAAAAGTTGAAAAATTATTTGTAATTAATATATAGAAGGACATAGAAATTCTAAACATGACACACATTATAAACTGAATTCGTTGTAAAATTGTATAAAAGACATTGACACATTATATTTAATACTAATCATTCATAAGTACTTATTGTATTTTAAGCCGTTAGAAACTATTTTTTATTTATAATTATAAGACTGTTAATTGTTAGTTTCAGACCAGATATTAAATTTTAGATACCTAATGTTCACAACGGACGCATCAAACTGCTGTCACTATTTGACATCAAATAGTGTTATTACTAATTTTAAATTTCGTTGCATTGCGTCCATTACGACCATGGATCTAACAGGTCTAGCCTACTGTATTAATAAGTTATCCTTAACATTAAATACAAAGAAATGTTACGTACATTGTCAATAATCTCTCCAACACACACACTTAAGACATGACGTCACAAATCCACCACCTTACAATCGTCGCTCACATACTTTGCCTATATTAGCAAATCTGTTAAATCTTCAATTATCAAATTCTGTAAAGTACAACTAATACTTTAAAAGATCAAATAAAATTTTAACGCTAAGCCAAGCATTCAAATACCATAGCCATATAAACATAGAACATATTTACTCGTAAATATATTTAGAGATGCATAGTACACTAAGCATCAGTATCTGATTTCGTTCGAATTATTGATTGGAATGTGTCTTTATAAAATTGATTCGAGTATATAATATGTATGCTTATCGATTACATAAAAAAAGGTGTTTGATTTTATAAAAATTTTCCTTGTACCGGATAGGTGGGTTAATTATTAAAACACATTTCTAGACATAACTAGAATTATGCACAAGATTGCAAGAAAACTGCGTATATAAAACAGTTATTTATTTCTTTACATATTTTTCTTTGCATATTGTCTCTTAAATCTAGAAGGGAATGAGATTATAGAAAATAATATCAATTATTTAAATAATTTCCAAATGTTTCAGTTGTTTGATTATTACAGTTTTCATTACAACCGGTGCGTGACGACCGTAAGACAAATAAAGTGGCGCTCTCAAACAAAAGAAGTAACACAGTACAATTAAGATTAACGAATTATAGCTTCAATGGCGCTTACTGCGCTTATCTTTTGGTCTCTTTGTAATGATTCAACGGCGTCACATCGAATTCGGAGGATTTCAGGGATCATTTAATTATTTTATTTTAAGTACAGAGATCAAAAACAAACATTTATTCAATCTTAAACAAAAGAATTTAAACAGAAGCTTGGTAAATGTATTAACAGCCTTTCAGGCAAGATTTATTTTTGTAGTCAAGAGCTATTTTATTGTTGGTAATAAAAAGGTTGTTGTAGGTAATAAAATTCCTGAAATCCAACAAACTCAATTTCCTTGATCATAACAAACCCACAAGCCATGTGAATCTTCCAAAATCCTTACACGCAATTCCCAAAATCTACGCAGTAGGTCAATTGACCAATTAACCATAGGGGGTCACGTGTGGGTTATATTACCCATTAAGGGTCTTATGACACCTGTGTACGAGTTAAGTATAGTTAGAGGAGAGGCAAACTAATCCACAGGGAGGTCACATGATTCGTAGGTAAATTTACCCACTAATGTTCACGTGACCCACCCGTGTAAGGGTTAAGTGACTTAAGAGGAGACCCAAACGAACTAACCCATATGATGTAAGGTGTGGGTAACATTACCCAGTAAGGGTCACGTGAGCCACCTACGCGAGGGGTTTAAGTGACTTATGAGGGGGAGATTCATAAGACCACTTACTGTTTGTTGAGCGGCGCGTCCATGTTCGGTATGTAGTCTAGCGCCATGAGGCAGGCGAATACTGTCATGATCATTTTCGGTTTCCTCTCGGTTATGTCTTCAGGTAAGGCGTATACTCGCGCGCCGCAACGACGAGCCATTGAGATGGCGTATTTAGCGTTAGCTAGGTTCTCCTGCAATAAAACAAAAATATAATTCATTCAACAGATTTGGACCGGTAACTTTTTAAGTGTCGAAATTACGTTATTTTAAAATATACGTATCATATAAATAAATATTGACAATATCATGTAAGTATTATGGAGTATCTAAGACGACGAACGTACCACAACATCCAGACCCGAGACAATGTAAAAAAGTACATTTTCTACATTGACTCGACTGGAAATCGAATCCAGGATCTCAGAGGTAAATCAATTTTGACGCGATACAAATTGTTATATTGAAATTATCATGTTTTCCACAATAAAATGTTGCCCTCCACATATATTATCAAAATTAGTAGCAAAAACGAATTGTAATATTTTGCACTGTTTAACTAACACTCTAAACTTATCGTTACAATGTAAACCAATGCTTATTATTTCATGGGTATATCAAAATATTTATACAAAATTACTGTAACAAATATAGGTTCAAATGTTTTTAAGGATATTGCCAAATTAATTAAACTAATTATTAATTCTGATGTATACTTAGTTCTAGGTGCGTAGATTGAAATAATATTTCTTAAACAAAATACTAATAATACAATGCTTTATGCTCTAATGAAGATATTGTCAAAGTACAAAAGAAATGGATCAGTCATTGTATGCATATTAATATACATAAAAAAAAAAAACAAGAATAAAGACTTCAGGAAATACTGTTTGGCATTGAATATAGTGTCAAAGATAGAGACCTAAGTTTTATTTTTATATTGAATCTGTCTGAAGATTAGTATAATTGTCAACATTAACAAATCGATCATGTTAAGCATAATATAAATACGATTATAATAAGCACTGCAGGACATTTCGGTTTGCAATGTGGAGGTTAAGCATCTCTCACAGAGGCCCATCATGGGATGGGTGACCAATATATATTCTCGCGCTAGTCCAAGCTTCGGAAAGCACGTCCTTAGTCCCAACTACATTTCCAGTCATTAACACCCACCAATCCGCACTAGACCGCGTCGTGGAGTAACATGTAAGTAACATGTTCTTTCTATTTGACTCCATAAGGAAAGCTTATGTCAAAACAGTGGGGGCATTAATGGAGCGAGTGTTAAATGTTAGTTTTACGTTAACGCCTTCATTTATGAGCACGTTAAGAATTTATATGGAGATTCGTAGTTCCTGGAAGTTACCGCTTGGGGCACTGTATCGGATTCCATACTAAAATCTTAACGCGTAAAAAATACATTAGCACACTAAAGGTGATGAAATTAAATAAATATGTACCTCTTCATTCCCGCCCGGCAGCACGAGGTCGTAGTTGATGGAACCAGGTTTAATGGCGTCTATAAGATCGATCACCACCTTGCCATCAGCCAACACTTCATCCTGTTACAACAGTAATTTATAAATATAAAATCGCCGAACTGTATTGATGATTCCTCATTGTCAGGACAAGGTTTGTATAGAATTACTTCTATAAAAAAAAATCCTTAGTCGCGACAGGAGAAATAAAATAGGGCGGTATGAAGTTCGCCGGGTCAGCTAGTATTTGATAATCAAATTTATTCGAAAATTTATATGCGAATCAATATAGTTGAAGAAATAAAATATTATCAAGATTTGTCTCCCCTCTAAGATTTCAATAAATATAGTGCAATAACATCATTTGTTGAAAAAAGAAAAAACACTTGTCATTTTCCGTTTTTTTTTTTGCCTGAGCTGAAATAGAATATATATTTTCGACAACGTAAACTATTACTAATCGTTGTTTATTATTTCTATGAAATAAGGTGTAATATGTGATATAGTCAATCTTGTCAAGTCTCGAGTCCCGGGAAGAATGTAAAAATTATTAGTAAATTTTCAATAAGTTCAGAAAATTCGCGTTCGGTTTAAGGATTCGCTTGGCTTATTTCAAAGTGTATTAAATGTATTAACAAAAATTTGGAAAGGAATTTTAATACGAATACGTAACTCGCGCGTCCCGGGACTTTAAAATCTTTGGGAATTCCTAAACCACAACGATATCGCTAAATATTCCACTCGGTTCCACTTAACGTCGGTTACCTGGAAGCTTCTGATGGCGGATGTCTTCCCTGCGGCCTGCAGTTTATTGTTGACCCACTGTACTATCTCCTTCTCTATGATCGGGTTCCCGGTGTTGGCGAGACGAGTCAGGACAGACAGCGTGTACGCACGCATCAGTTGCCAGATCAGAGCTGTACATATATTATTATTCCAGCCTATCAATTTAATTTTAAGTTATAATGGTCTTAAATTACATAGTATAGTTCGTGGAAAGAAACTTTCGAGAAAACTCGTTACAATATGGATTGTAATATAGGTACTTAGTAGTTATGGTGTAATGTCATGGAGTATTGTAAATAATGTCATGGCCTACTGGATTTTGTGAATAAAGTATCTTGTGTATCATATGTGTCTCGTATTTAAACATTAAATAAATACCCATATTAAGAGCAATTCCAGATGAATTATTTAAAATTTACAATCGTCTATAGTCTATACGGACCACACCCAGTTATGACGGAGACGAAACTCTAACTTTTAACTTTTATTTCTCTACAACGTAATATTAGGAAATTCATGGAAAATGCATCAAATTAAGTATAATAGTTCACCTAATGTGAGTGTTGCGTTGCCCTCGTTGATATCAGCTCCAGCAATGCCCACTAAGGAGAAACCAAGTCTGCGGCCCAACTCCACCGCATAGTTACAGTTCTCCAAACGCTCCATGAACTTACGAAGCTTCGAGAACTGACGGTGTACCTGTACAAATATATATAGATCTAACATAAGCGTAGCTACGAGGGGCGTTTCAGAGTGGGCCGATCCCACCCTAGAAAGCTGTGGGCCTACCCTAGAAAAATACCCACCATCATACCTAAATTAAGTTCATTATTATTGATTATTCTTCATATGGGAGCCATGCCCCCTTAGAAAATATCCCTAGCTACGCCAATAAAGTATTCTATTCTGTTTGAAATAGTATTTGTAACAATATAAGTTACCTTTTTCCAGTCGACGATGCCTGGTTTGATGATATCGTACAATTGGAATATGACGAGGCCGTCAGTCAGGTCCGAGTATAACCAGTTCACGTGCGGCGCCACACCCATTGAATTCATCCAGTTGCGATAAGCTAATAACAACATACATACGTAAAAAAAATCTTAATATGCCAATTTACTTTGTGTGTATGTTCAAAATGGTTAAAGTGTGATTCTTGAGGTGGTCCTATTAAAATTTTCGAAAACGGATCAGAAGTTTCGATTTTATGTGATTTTTAAAGAAGATGTCTGTGATTAAGCAATAAATTTGGATTCAGCTTGATTCGCATTGGGTTCAATCATAATGCACTCAAAGTCAATACTGTAGTGTCCGTTCGATACATCCGGTGGAATCAAATTCACTGAAACTTTCAATAAAGTTAAATACTTCATGCATATTGATTGAATCTAAAACCAATGTTATTACGCGGTGGGCCGTACCTACCAAGTTAGGGTTAGGAAAACATTTATTTTTATTATTACCAATAATTTAACTTTAATACCAATAATTACAAACGCAAAACCTCACTTAGTTTCACTGAAAAATGGGAAAAAGACACTCATATGTTGCTAATATTCTACTTAAAAGCGAAGTCATTATTATAATTTTATGGGAACTCACTCTTCTCCTCCCTGGTCTCGTCGAGCTGGTGGTACTGCTGAGATTCAGCCTGTGGTTGCAGGCCAGGATGTTGATTGAACAGATTGGCCACGAACGCCAAGTTCAGTTTATAAACTCCGCCTACTACATCAGCAGGAGTGACGAAGGCACGGCAACGAAGCTTGGCTGCTTGCTGCAACATCAGCTCAGCGCGACGCATCAAGTCAGGTTCCTGTTAAATCGTATTTATTTGTTTATTTACAGATGTCTTATACTACTTGTAAGCATTTAACGTGTCACCAAAAGGGTTATTCTAGTTCTCCGAAAACGAAATGCTAATACGACTACACAAAGAGAATATTTTTCGCTAATTTATGCTTCAACAGAGGTAGGACCTGACAGTGCCTCTAATGCACAAATAATTACCATGATTCAACTTCCCGAATTTTTGTTCAGTACAATAGAAGAGGCTCTCAAGTGTCATGTTAATTTTTAGATTTAGACGGGCAGGGTGTAGACAAGTTTTTATTAATATTTTTATGTTATAGATATATACGACATATATCTAAATAAATATATAAAAAAATATCATTCATATAATAAGCTAAAATCAAAGTAATTATCAAAGTTATGATATGAGCAGAGGGGGGTTTTTCATGATTAATTTTCACAATATATAAATCTAATAAGTATCAAAGTGTGATTAACGGAAATAGTATATTTAACACTATCAGAAAATAATAATATTTATTTATTTTCGTTTACTGTCTTAAATCCTCAATAGGGGATTGAGGTGCAGCGGGTAACCATAGCAACGCAGAAAACCGGAGACCGGAACTACATAGAAAGTAGATATTTTAATTCATCTTACGTATGAAGAATTACATACTTACACTCGCTGATAATGTTGCTTTATAAATAAATGATGGACGACATCACAAAATTGCTCAGATCCTAAGATTAGTAGCTAAAGCGATCAGTACATTGGTTTTAAATTAATTCTATAGTTTTTTAGTTTGTCCATCACAAATAAACAACCAAACCTTTTTGTTATTAACTTGAACATAGATTATAATATTTGATCAATTTTTGCATACATTAAGAATATGAACATAGATATAGAAAAAAAAGTATATTGTCTCTTTTCTATTGTGCAATAAAGAATATTTATTATTATTATTATAAAATTTACATGACAATCCAATTTACATTGCTAATGTAGTCATAATTACAGTTTGGCGGAGGTTTTTATTTTACCCTTGTGTACGAAACTCTAAACAATCTTACACTGCAATAATGAATTTACCTAAAATTTTTCCGACATAAAACAATCGTATATAGTAGTCCGGTCGCTGTATATTATCTTATGTACAGTATGTACACTGACCCTGAGAGCGTCGAGAGTGACCCCGGCGTCTGCGGGCGCGATCTGCTTGAGCAGGTGCGTGTATATCTCCGAGTCGGCGACGTCCTGCTGGAAGTTGTTGCAGCGGCGCGTGACGCCCGCGTTCTGCAACTGGTGGTTCACCCACCGCAGCAGGATCGCCTCCGGGGACAACGCCAGCAGGTCCTCGATGCGCTCCTGACACATAAAGTAATCAATTATGAAATTTAAAACAAGGCAATACTAAAATAAATGTCACTAGACGGATCGAAGAGATTGTCTTCGCTTAACACATCCAAATTGAAGAAATCAATTATGAATATTTTATTAAAGTAATTAAACGAGCTTAAATATAATTTTATGTGTTACTCTCTTTCGCCAGCGGCTTCGCCCACGTGGATCCTAGGGAAATGTTAAGTGGGATAAAAAGTATCCTATTATCTAAGTCAGCTAATACCCTATATGTATACCAAATTTCATTAAAATCCGTTCAGTAGTTTCGGCGTGATTGACCGACAAACATCCAAACATCCAAACAAAGAAACTTTCACATTTATAATATTAATAGGATTAATGTCCTAGTGACTTTTGATTTTGATTTCGAGTGCTACTTCACTTTTTCTAATACATTTCATCACGAATAATAAAATAATGAATACGAAAGGATAACAGCTATACGAGAGACTTAATTGACTGACTAAAACGAAGAAAGTCTCATAAATATAAGAAGATTCTAGTCTGATACTAACATACATACGTATAACATACTAAAAGATGAAATTTACTAGAAGCAAAGAAGTCCAAATTTGGTTTTTAACACATTATTAAGAATAATAGTAGGTGAGATATAAATAAATTATAGAATTAAATAGTTGAAAATGTTCCTTACCTGATCATTGAGCAGTTCAGTGAGACCCGGACAGTGTTCAAGAGTGATTTGATTGAATAGACCGATTCTAATGATTTGCCACAGTAGACCAAGGACCAAATGTGGTTTACCTAGAAAAAAGAATAGAATAAACAAATATAATAAACCTGGTCATGGACCACCTCATCATACTTGGCAAATTGTGAACTATGTACTGTCACTGGGCATAATAAAACAGTTCAAATGCAGAGTCTCTGTGGTTAGCAAAACAAATATCATTACTAATTGGTTAAAAGATGGCAAAACTTTTTTCAGTTTTCTAAATAAGCTCTAAACAGTCACTTTATCAAACTTCAACTCAATCTTTCCTTTAGTATCTAGACAAATTAAGTGTAACAGATGAACAGACTATTTAAGAACGGTTTGACTAACTGATGGACGAACTGATTGAGTAACTGACGGGCTTATTGACTGACGGATGGACGGCGGAACGGACGGAATGATTGACTGAAAGTCTGGATCAACTGACTGACGATTGATGAACTAGAGAAACACAAGTGATTTGTAAAAAAATTAATAAATTGGATATTTTTTGTTACCTTTAGCTAGGTCATGTGCATCTATATTGACGATGTTACAACCGATTGCCTGCGAGGAGACGAGTGCTAATGTCAAGTTCTCGTGTTTTGTATAAAGGGTGAGGTTCTTCTTGTTGATCGCCCGCTCGTCTATCGTATCCGGGCACGAATGGTTGATCACTTTGCTGGAAAGGGAAAGAGAAAGAAAATATTATTCTCATACCACTCTTTACTAGGGTCTTTAACGTCACGGCAACTCAGTAACATTGCAATTTATTTTTCCACTGCATTATAATATTATTATTATATATGATCCTGGTGTTCGATATATTAATATACAATGGCGTGTTAGTAAATTAATAATTGTCAATATTTATCTATCTATATCTTAACGCTGTATCCCTTGTGAGGTAGACAGAGAGAACCGAGTGCCACAGGCCTTACATACATGTTTCGCCTCCTCCAATTTCATTACTCAAAATCATTTCAATTAATTACTGCCAAATCATCACGATTATTCTAAAATTAGGACTATTGCACTATTAGTGTTGCCCGAAATGATCCATCCTTTTCACTCTAACAGTAGATAGATATTAATTTACTTACCACAGTATGAGACCGTCTTTCAGTTTTTCGTAGAGTTGTTTCCCCTCAGCATCGATAGGCAGCAAATGTTTGAGGTCAGGATCGTGCTCCAGATTACTGTTGATCCATCCAGAGAACGCCATCTGCTCCTCTAAACGAACTGAATGGGTCGTGCCTGTAATAACAAAAAAAAATACAATTGTATATTTATTTTATTTAAGTGACATTTTTTGGCATGTATTTAACGCGGCGACAAATGGATACCATTCCGGGTCTTAAAAAAACTGAAAATGGATAGTAAATAAACTACTTTGGTAACTAATTTGAGGTAGCATCTTAACTAGAAAGCGGCGGCTTTTTGATGACTTTTGAGGTTTTATTTAAATTTTATCTGGCAGTGATTTTCTTTTGTGGCAATTGAATTTCTTCTAAGGCGACAAATTATTGGCGGATAAAAAAGTTAAAATAGGCTTTCATAAATTCTAAAATAGGGTCGTCTATAAACTCGACCAAGGTCTGAAATAAATACAAACAAGATCTTAAAAAAAATACTTTTGGCTACATTTGTAGGGATCTAAATAAACCAAATTGTGACATACTAAAAAACTATTCTTGGTCTATTTATTTTTTTCTTGACTATCTTATTTATTATTAATCTTCCCTCTTTTAAATGAACATTAAATGAACCTACCTACTTTGAGTAACTAGGTACTCAAACATAAGAATTGTTGGTAAATCTAGGTAGGTACTCAAAGTAGGTAGGTTCATTTATTCTAGTGCTGTATTTCAGCTTTAAAAAAAAGATTTTATAAAAAATCTACCTATTGCATTATTAATGCAGGCTTTGACTTGGTAGGGCGTCGTCTCTTCCTTTTTAATCCGATCGGTATTGACTTTGCCTCGATAAGCAGGGTGGTAAGTTTTAGTCGGATGGCTAGACCCAGTATATAATAATAATAATAATATTTATTAGACCACAACAAAATACATGATTTCGTTATATCTAAGCTTATCATATACTGGAAGTACCTAATTAGTTTGCATCTGCTGCTGAACTGAGTTAATATCCGTTTTTCAGCATACAGCGCCTCAAAACCTCAAATTCTTGAAATTACTAAGTATATATTAAGCAGATAAGCAACACTAAAATTTGTTTCTTATATTTGGCACATACTTTAACTAACCTACAGTGTTATCCTCTCGGTGAGTAGAATGATAATGACTGAGTGCGTGTGAGAGGGTGAGTAAGTTGAGTAGTGAATTATAAAACTTAAAATTCCAAACACTAATATCCAAATCTAATATCCAAATACATTATTATAATACCCATTTTTAGTTTTAAAGCTACCTAACAATCGCTGCCAGATGTGTATTTTTATAATGAAAGCCAATAGTTGCCAGTGAAGAATGTTTGATATCCCCTCGGAAAAATTTGTCGCCACATTAGGTTTTATAATACCTTGACCATTTTTACACTGATCCCGCTTGATATATTTGATACCTTACAGTAGCAGCCGTTTTTTAGTTTTTTGATCCTAGCATTTTGTTGCTTGTATAGTTTAATAGTTGCTAAGATATTTAATCACTGCAAAGTTAGTTTTTTTGTGACTTAATAGAAAGTTGCCTAAAAAGGATTTCAGTTACCGTGTTAAATATTTGCCTTAAACAATTTATATAATGACGATATTGAGATCTTTCTATATTTTAAAAATCAACTGCCTTTTCAAATTACCGCGTAAATATACTTACATCGACTTCCTTGGTATTGAATCAAAAGCACTGTGTGGAGTGTGTGTGGAGTGCGTTTTGATTGAATCCAATGTGGTCATCCACATTGGATTCAATCAAAACGCACTCCACCGTGGTACCATACATACATCTATTCGTACGTACGTATAGTACCACGGAGGATGTAGTCAGAGGCGAAATTCAAATTTAGGGGTAATTATCTGTATAGAGAACTGGCCTTAATTGTGCTAATGTTAACGTAACAATGGCGTTTCAATAACATCTCTTTTTAACCGATTCCAAGAAAAGGACTTCGAAGGATTGGACCGGTTTTATTTAATGTTTTGATATCTTCGTCAATTGCGGGACGATCCTGATGAGTCTATTTTGTTTAAAAGGGTATAACCTCGAAAAAAAATTGGAATAACTAGATCTAAATTACATTGACGATATCGTTGTCACTAATTTATGATTAAAGTTGCGGTATAATGTACTTGGAAATGACTTCGGCGACGTATTATTAATTAATACATCAATACTAATATACACTAACCGTCACTGGACGCTTCGCTCATGCCACCGAGATGTTCCAAATTCTCTTTTTTACTAACTGCTTGTTTGAATGTGCTCGCGACCTGCAACAATATGTAATTGAATCTTAAAATAAATTTACAACATTTAATTAATCTTCGTAAAAAACATATTCCATAGATACTACAAAGGTGTATTGAAAAAGAAAACCTACAATTCTTCATTCATCAAAATCTATCGGCGAGACGGTTTTGCCAGATATGGTGGTGGCCATGCAGGGGTCATCTAGTTGTTATCCCGCTTAAAATATAACCCGTGTCACCCTCGTATGATGTAGCTTCCCGTATGAGATTTTTTTTAAATTGACCCAGTAGTTGCTTCCAGACACTGCTCTAGTTACTGGTAGTTGCGTGAAACGTGAACGAGCCTCGAGCGGTCATTTTATCCTTAACATTTTATTATAAAACGAGAAATTAAGTACCAGGTTTCAACCATTATCCAACCAAAATAAGTCATCACATCTCAATTTCACATTTTCTCGTCTGTCATTGTCTATTCATTTTAGGCGGTCAATAGTTGTACTAACTTTAATTCTAATAAAATCACCGGCGAAAATAAAAAATATATATACAAGTTTCAGTAACAATATAACAAGTACCCATTTCCTCCCCTTTTTGCATTGACCAAGTTTTAAATAATGACATGAAGAATCATTTTTTATTAAAAATAAAAAGACAATTGACACAAGACATGATTTTAAACTCATTATACATACAATACTAAACATCATTAATTTGCATTCAGTTTTGCATACTTAATGTGCGTTTAAAAAAATAACCACCAAGGACATTGGCCTCTGATCAAAGTTGCGTTACTCACTCTTGAATAACTTAAGTGGCCGTCATCTATTTGACCCGGGCAATTGATTAGTTTATTGCTTTATTGACTCTTGACTCGTTTAATCTAAAGTAAATACAGATTATTGATTCAAATTGGTTATTACTTTCGAGTTCGACCGAGTACTAGTTTATTACTCGGCAGTCGACAATTAACTACCAATAGGTATAATATTACGACACCTAGTACTTACATTTCTAATATTGCCTAGTTGTTTTCCCGGGATTTCACTCCCGTAAATTATGGCCTGTATCACCCGCGTATGATGTAGCTCTCCGTGGGTGAGATAACTTTTAAAATCGGTCCAGTAGTTTCGAAGATTATTCAATGGAAACAAACAACCAATCTCTCCTCTTTATAATAAGAGATATTCTACATAAGCTGCCCAAGCGCAATAGTTGCCCTCGAGAAATCCTATATAAGTAATGACGATGCAGCCAAGCAGTATACAAACTGTCTAGAGAAATCATTAACAGTGACAGTAAGCTGCGAGTACGAATTGTTCTCTGGTTTCAGTCTTTTATGTTTAACAAATTGTATGATGTGTGATCTCTGAAAATATTATTTAATATCTACTCTGATTAGTAACAATTGTTTGAATTGTGATACAATATTGTCTATGCTTTGATATTTATCATACCAATACCATTATTAGATGAATAAGTATAATAAACTCAAATTAAATGCATAACAGTCTTTTCAAGAAATTACCTATACTAGTAACCATGCCGTACCAAGCTCCGAGAAGGTAGTTTTGTAAACGGACTGGTTTTACAAGCCGTTTTTATTAGGGAATATACAAAAGTTACAAATTCCCCAGTGCCTGGCAAGGGACGGGTATTTATGTGGGAGTGGGGCCTCTTTTCCCAAAGTACTAATTTACTAATTCGAAGTACTAATGTTGTTCATCAATTAGTAGTTTAATACCCAGTACGGTCTCGAACAGCGGGCAACGATGAAAATCAAACTTTTAGCGACTGCTGAATGTTCCAAATAACAATTTAAGAAAGTCTGTCTATTCCTTTCTTGACTTACTCGTAATACATAGTTGATAAATTTTTAACTATATTTGTCACACATTTTTCTCACGGACTCCGAATGCTCAATCAACTTACGTACGGTGTTTCCCCCTCATGCCACAAGTTTAGCAACCATCATTCAGACTAGCGATGGGCGTTGAATCAACGAACTAGTTAAATCAACCGTTAACGTAGAATCAACGCGTCGACGGTTGACAGTTCTTTGGTTAACTAGTTGAAAAATCGACGCCTAACGAAGAACCCATCGTTCGTCTAACAACTTGTTATGAAACTGCAACGCATCATTTTCCATTCATAAAGATTCGATGTAACTTTGATTGCTGAAATAATTTAAACTCTAAAGTCAATAGCAGTAAGTAAATATTTCAATACGCGCGTTTAGTACATAGGCCTTGTATATATGAATGTCAAATGTGATTGTTGTTTACATTTGTTTCTAATAGATGGTGTTATACAGTTCTTGTATTTATCTACACGGCGGTGTTAAGAATTTTACTAATTAGTATAGGTCAACTGTTGTTGTAATAATTTTTTTTTTAAATTTTGCATATACTCGTCCAATTGTGTGTTTTATTAGGGTTTCCTTGGGATTTTTTTTTGTCTGAATAATCTATCTAATCTTTCTTTCTCTGAAAGAACGTTTATAGATTTTTTTTTATTTTAGAGAATTTAATTCACTCTGGGCAACTGTTATATGAATAATTTTGAATATTAAGATTAATAATTTTATTTTGAACCAAAACAAACAAAACCTAAAGTTCAGTATATCTATATAATTATGTTAAAATAATAAAACATATCACTATAAACGAAAAATAATATTTATTGATAAATATAATAAAATATTTATTAAAGATTTTTAGTTAGATTATTAAAAAACATGAAACTGTAAATTTATTCTATTATACCTACACCACAGAAATATTTCTGTGACCTACACCTAGGTAACTATGATCTTACACAAAATAAATATTATATTATTTTTTATATCCATTAACGTGAAGTAGTTCGGTCAACTGCGAAAGTCTATATAGTCCATCCAATAAGGTTAATATTTGTATGTACGTTGGTTGTAGTTCATAAATAAACGCACACTCCCATCCGTCGACGTCCATCCTGTCGACGTAGTTGCATACGTTAACTATAGTTGATAATTCAACTAGTCGAATTTTCAATGATCAGATGAAGAGCGTTACGTTTGTTGATCAACGTACACCTAGACTACAACGCTTTAGTTTTGTCGTATAATACAATAAAACAACCAGTTAAAAAGTCGGCGGCTAAAAGAAGAACGCACCGTTCATCTATAAACATGTTACGAAACTGCAACGCATAACTTTATCTGTATAATACAATGGAATGCGGTTGTTTCCATTATTAAAATTTCATGTAACTTTGACAGCTGAAATAATTTACACTCTAAAGTCAAAGGAAGTAAGTAGATATTTGAACACGCGTATCTAATACATAGGCCTTGTTTAAATACATGTTAGACTTTGTTTGTTTACGTTAGTCCCCGATAGATGGTATTATACGATTTTTGACATGGCGGTGTTAAGAATTTTACTACTTAGTATAAGTTAACTTTTTCCTATTACAATCGATTTCTTTTTCTTTTTTTTTTGCATCCGAATTATATAGTGATTCATTAATTTATTATTATAATTAATTAATGATTAAATTAATTATCCTATTACAGAAAAATTTCATAATATTTATTTTAATTGTATGTTTAAAAAACGGCTAAGTACGAGTTGGACTCGCAAACAAATAAATCTGTTGTATTTGTACGGGAGCCAACTTGAGTATTTATTTTATTTTAATTTAACTGTTTATTTTTAAAGTGAATACGTATATAGGACAAATCTTCGGTAAATATTTCAAGGGTCATCTCGCTGCAAGTATCGATATCGAGCAAAAACATTATTTTATTAAATAAAAGCCAATATTTATTCTGTTTTTAGTATTTGTTCATTATTGTCAAAATAAATGAATCTTATGTGAAAATTTTAACTATCTATCTATCGATCAAGGTTCATGAGATACAGCCTGGTGACAGACAGACGGACGGACAGCGAAGACTTAATAATACGGTTTCGTTTAAATTACAAAACCCAAAACAACCACAGATGTACAAAATAAAACCATAACCTACCTGACAATAGATATTCTTACGTTAACACGAAAAAAAAACCATAACCAGGTACAGATGATCAACAATGTTTACTTTTCAATATTGATATACGGTTCAATAAAACAATTTAGACCGTTAAACTTCGTCCAAAGTTCATACCCGTTGACGTAGTTTTATATGTCAACTATAGTTAAAATCAACTAGTTGATCGACTAGCCGATCAAGGTCCATGAATGGCTTCGTTTCGTCGACGGAAACTTAGTCAACGACCCATCTCTAATTCAGACTCATATTGGAGCGCTGAAAATTCTTTAAGACCGATAAGTTGGTTATGGTCCTACAGGTAGGGATGTTAAAAAATAATCGATTTTTATTTTAATCGATTATTATTTTAACATAATCGATTTTTTATAATCGATTTTCCATTTCATATTAATCGATTTTTAACAAATCGATTAAATAAATTGCGCGGTTAAATCGATTTTCATAAATAGCATCATCTATGCGCCAAATGAAAAAACTCGAGGCATTATTACTTAAAAGTTGATTATATAAAAACGGCGCCATCTGTAGGTATGTAGGTATATATGATCGACATTAGAATAACATCGATGTTGACATCGATATCATCATCGTAAGTCCAACATCGATGTTTGATATTTATCGAAAACTAAACATTTACATTCATGACGATTTTTTTTTTATTATTATATTTATTTTTTGCGACAATAAGGTTGTCATTTTGTTGGGTTGCTCATTTTTATTATTATATAACGTTTAAAGATACTGAGAATTTCTATCAATAATGATATTTGGTTTTATTATTCCTTACCTTGAAAGTTTAAAAGAACGTTTGCTTTGATTTTTAGTTTTGAATTGTCAATTTTTTTATTCATATTATTTTTTTTTTTAATCTGATTAATTGTTAATATGAATCTTTTAGGTTTATTATTGGAATATGCAAAGCATGTAGGATTTTAAATAATAGAAAAAAAAATCGATTTTTTTCGCAAAAATCGATTATTTATTTTCATTAAAATCGATTATTGACAAATCGATTTATAATTTATAAAAGAAAATCGATTTTTATTAAATCGATTATTTTCTATTAATCTCACATCCCTACCTACAGGTAAGAGAGGCTAAAGGGAAATTACTGCGAGCTGAGAGCTGGTTGGCAATTCTGGGAACGCGGTCTAATCGATGCAGATTGGAAGTTGTATATGTGAAGTCGTGGCGAAACTTAGTTAGCGCGATGCAGGCATCGCGGTGTCGATGTATCCTTTAAACTTTCGCCGTGTCGTCGATTATTGTAGCCATGTAAGCGCCTGATCTTACCTGCTGCGCCTTGAGATTGGCGCACAGCTCCTCAAATTCAGTGAGTGAGATACCATTCTTGCGCGCGTCACCGTTCACGTTCCCGTTGACCCCGCGGCCGTGCTTCGATCCATTGTCGTAGTACTCCTCTATCATACACCGCACCTACAACACAACAGGTAAATATTGAGACGATTACTACTATCACTGATACCTAACTAAAGCCCGGAACTACTATCTCTCAAAGTGAATCAGACAGATTGCAGAGCCTTCTGCTTTCCTTCCTGCTATCCCATTATCGTTTCCTTTCTTTTAAAACCTCTTTACTTCCTACTTTTCTTTATACCCTATAATCATCTTAGTCTTCTTCTTACCGAGAATTCTAAGGAAAGGGTAATCATTCAACCGTTTTGTAGACTTGCTGTTGCTGTAGACCTCCTACTGAGACTCCTAGTCAAAGTGCAGGGTTTTAATCACTGGGTTGGTGACTGGATTGATTTGCCTGTAATAAGATCTATGAACCGGAAGGTAGCCATTATCAATATCCCAAGCGACTTCATGTTATATACCTCTCCATAAAGATATAATATTCCGTGACGTATTTTTTCACGTTGGATATGATTACATTTTAAAAGTGTATTCCCAACAAACCATCAGAACACAAGGCCCTTTAAAATAATAATCAACAGCTGTGTATTCAACGCTCACCTTCCATTGTGGAATTTTGTATCCGACGCTGTCCAGAGCATCTTTTAGTTCTTTGAGGTCGATGTAGCCATTACCACTTGTGTCAATCTGTAATTAAAAAAAAATAATATGTTAGAACAAAATCATACCGATGGTTCGCTATCTTACGACTGCCATCTAAAGATCCCTATCAGAATAAGAACCCTTAATATCATTCTGTCCATCCACGAATGATAGGGGTCTTTGCTGGCATAGGGTCAATTCTAGCCTTGCATTTTCTTTTTAATTACTCCTTTGCACATTTACATAATGATTACAGTGTGGTCAATAAATTTCAAATTATCTTTCTTTATTCTTATTATATCTCAAAAATGGTAAACCATCACAATACTGAATGTTATGATACAAATTAAAATAGTAGTAAAGTATTATTCAAACAAAAACAAGTTGAACCACTTTCAATTTTACACAAAATATGAATTCAAAATAAATCGGTGTTAGACTAAGATAGCGTAACGTATCATTGCATCATAATTTGAAACGGGAAATTTAAAAGAATATTAAAACTTTTAGTCTTTACACTGGCGGCCGTGAAATCTGAACAATTTATTCAAACGGTTGTTTCGGCGCAGCGGTGCGGCGCAGAGCGATAGACATAACACGTGCCGTATTTTAATTACTCAGTTTTAAATACTAGTATCGATAAAAAAGCATTCACATATAAATAGGCAGGCTTTCCCTTCAAAACATATTGTTGACCCTTTGCTGAAGGTGTATGTCCAATTTATGAATATCTGTTATTTCAATGAGAAAAATAAAGGACACGAGGAAGTATCGACCTTGACTTGACTCGCCTTTAACGCTCCTTATAAGTAACTTTGACGCGTACACTTATGGTAATGAAGCATACATACCAACTTCTGAGTATGAACACCCGAATTTAATAGTCTATCTTCGACAAAAATATATAAAATCTGACATAATACATCGGATCTATTAACGAAACAATCGTCAAGTTTCGTAACAGATAATACAATTAAGGTACCGACTTAATTTGAGCTAATGATATAACACTTCATTTAGATTTATTTATTTTTCGAATACGCTACAGAGTATTGTACTATTATTTGACAAACGAAAATTTATTATCAAATAAGGCTCGTGGCAAAGAACAACGGCCGATTGATATCATTTCGACGATCAAACAATTAACGCACGTATGTTTATTTAATATCACATCAACAGATATTACCGCGTTTCTATTATTCACTGGTGATGTAATCGATGTCTTAAATTCGAGTATATAGTTTACGATAACTAGTTTTTAACTATAAACGTTTAATACGGAATAGATATTAGTCCTATGCACTTCCTTAGAATAAGTAATTTATTACTATGAATCTACCTGTCGTAACTTTAAGCACTTTGAATAAACTTACATATTTTAGTGTAAATTTAACTGTTTACGTTATAATTATACATAGTTCACTCACAAAACGTTTGTTTAGAACAAGATTCACTCACTTGAAACGGAATTTTTAAATGCAGTTTTAGTACTTAAAATGTTAATGATGACACGTTCTTTTTACTTATTAGTTACAAGGTCGTGTGTTGAGGCACACACATGGCTGACTTTTTACCAGATATTTGTATTCATTACAATTTTAAACACCTTTTATGCTAAATTGCTGTTAAATAATGTTCGTATGACAAGGCACACAAACATAAATTTATTTTGTAATACATATATTACAGAGCACAGAATCGTTTATTAACGCTAATATATTATTTGAGATAACAATAATATTGTATTTGTTCGAAATGAGTAATAAATAATTTTCAATTAACGTTTTGTTCTCATTGGTAATCATTAAATTAACAACGATACGCACATAAAATAATATTGTTTTCCTAGTAATTTTCAGCGATTACTAAATAAGTAACTAGGTAATGTTTATGTAATAAATGACCTTGTCGCCATTAGTGATAGTTAAAAATGTATGACCTGTTATAATGACCGGATGTGTAGCGAAGCATTTCCTTTGATGACCCAGATGAGTTAGTAATTTAATGGAGTGCAATTGCAAACGCATAGACCACGGTAACTGAGCAGATTATATTGGAACCAGAAATTATATTTTGGAATACAAGTCTTAAAATACTAATAAGATATGGTACTGTTGTTGAAGTATAGTCAAAAGCGAATTCAAAATCTATCACAGTCCTTTTTTTTGTAAAATATAATAATAAAGACAAAGTTATTATTATATTTTACAAAATACATACTTAATATTAACCAGCAAATAGATATTCACAATAAAGAACTAACAAATTGTCCGCTTTAGCAGTTGAATATCCACAATCAATAAGAAACAAAAACTTTATAAATAAAGAAGTAATATTAAAAAACAAGTTTATAAGGTAAACTTCATGATAAAAGAAAGACAGTTCAATCCTATAAGGAAACTATCGACTGACACAGTTTCATTTAAGTCCACATTTGTGCCGGTTTATCGTTAGCTTCATAAATATCTTATCAGTTCCTAGAATGATCACTTTATGTTTTGAAATGAAAATTATTGATGTCGATCGATTCTAGTTAAATAAATTATTAACTGCATAGAATTTTTTTTAATCTCTTTATTTCTTTGAGGGTTTTGTCACGCAGTGACTATGGCACCCTTATTATATAGGTATGCATGTTATTTTTACATTCTTCGTTTGAGTGTGAATAAAAATAGTGTGATTTTCACCTAATCACACTATTTTTAGTGACATCTTAGCATCTCCAGAAAGAGGAGAGTCTAACATACTATTACATACACCTACTTCAAAAACATTGGTAATTCTTATGCTTAAAACTATTTTCTTACATTATCATTCCGAACACACTTGCATAGCATAAAAAAGTAGACTGTTAACAGTACAACCACACCCGGTTTCTGAAACCCGGGCGCTAAGCGAAGTTAAAAAAAACGTAGATCCGGGCCTGCTCAAACTGTACTTAAACGTCACTTAACAACAGATTTTAGTTTCTGAATTATATGATTAGTAGATAGAAGTTTGATAAAAACTAGCACTTTATGCTTTGTGAAAAGTACAAAACTTTAATTATTAAAAATAAGCAGTAGAGATTAAGCACTTTTCTCAATTCAGAAACCGGCCGTTAGTCACCAGCGTATTATGCAGCTTCCCGTTGGTGAAGGAATTTTTAAAATCTGCGCCGGTGCCGTAGTTTCAGTCTTTTCAATGCAAACAAATAAATCTTACTTTTTATATTATTATAAATATGTATAAATATGACTGTCTGATTTATATACGTATAATATAATATAATCGAAAAGAAGGAAGAATGTAAGTGGAAACATTAAAAGTGTAAATTATTAACACAGTTTTATCACAAATGAATATGCCTTTTCCTTGTAAGCTCAGTACGACGATTTATAGTAATTGCACTGGACTGAAGTTTACAACAACAACAACAACACAGATATTGATTTTAAAATAACTATAATATACTAGTGGACGCCCGCGACTTCGTCCGCGTGGAAGTCGGTATCCCGTGGGAGTGAGAAGTTTTCCCAGTAAAAAGTACCCTATGTGTTATTCTGATGTATAACCTATATTGCTGTAAAGTTTTATCCAAATCCGTCCAGTAGTTTTTTCGTGAAAGAGTAACAAACATCCATACATCCATACTTACAAACTTTCGCCTTTATAATATTAATAGGATATGATTTGATGCACCAAATTACATTAAAATACATACATAGGTATACTATTCATCATTTTACTCGAGTTGTAGCAAAGAAAAAGGCAACAATGTATATAAAAATTCCATTTGCACTTTGCCATATAGATTACCTACTTAAAATAACTAAATACTTTATAGGTTAACGCTTGACTACGATCCCACCTGATGGTAAGCGGTGATGAAGCCTTGGGTGGTATAGCGCATTAACCTAGTAACAGCCTATTCACTCTTGATTTGAAGACATTCACATTAAAATCGGACGGAAATACAGACGCTGGCAGTTTATTCCAGCCCTTGGCGGTACGTATCTTTATTATATATTTTTATTAAATTTAATCTCTTTATTATATTTAATCTATTTATTATATTTAATCTTTTTCGCATTCACAATGCTATATATAACAATTAGAACAAATTTTCATCTTTATCGAATGTTTAAATATTTGTAAAAAACATTTCTTTCGGCTGTTTGGGTGGATTGCTTGAACATTGATGAGAATACGCTCTGTAGTAGCGAAAAATTAACAATGCTTGAAAGTTTCATCAGCGCTGTTAGGTCCTGATTAACTTAGTGGTTAGAGCAGTCGCCCGGATTAAGAAAGGTCATGGGTTCGAATCCCATCTCAGAGCGCCAGTGACCAAGTGGAGTTTTTAAGCACTTTTCATTAATAACTTAATACTCTGTTAACATAAGCTAATTCTATTTTCATTAACATCAACCTATTTATGACCCCACTGTTGGGGCACAGGCTTGCCCTATGTATGGAATTGAATAGGAAGAATGGGTCATTATCTGCGAATTGGTGGGTGTTTCAATAAATGAAATCAATTTTCGGCCACCCATCCTATGACTGGTCTATGTGAAAGTTGTTTAATTTATAACCTGTATTTGATATTTTAATATTTTATTTTAGAAATCTATCAACTACCTATGTATGTGATAAGTAAACTAATAATATTTATATATAATGATTTATCTTATCGTTATCACAACAGCTGGTTGTAAAGCGTTCATGATATTGACTCTCTTCACATCGTGTGTACATAACTGCATATAATATAACATCCTTACGATACCAACGAGTCCACAATGCCAATGTCTGGCTGAGTAAACGCTATAAACTTAAAAAGTACCACCATTTCAACGTTATTTTAAATAATGGATACAGTAATTCACGAGATAGGTTGAGTTGTTTCGTTCATTAAGGCTATGCTATTATCTAATAAAACCAGCCCCAAACTTCAAGCACAGCGCTGTCACATACAACTTAAATGGAATAAAACCTTTATTTCAGATTGAAGTAGGTTTGATTCGATTAAAGTTCTATCCCGAGAAAACTTTGTGTTAGTCAGG